ACAAATTTGTCTCCAGATCCCTCTATCCAATGATAACTATTCAACTTTTTTTTTTTACACACACAACAAAAATAAAATAGTTTATCCTATATGTCATACATTAGTAATATAATAAATTAAATTGGAAACATTGAGTTGGAAAATGAGAGACAAAGATAGCGCAGAAATGGCAAAAACACCCTCAATAAAAAGTTGTAGGCTGTGGGTACACCGTACACCTAGGTACTTACTAAGTACTAACCTAAATTGTAGCAATTGGTCATTGAGTAGAGACTATATAGATTAATGAATATAGATACTAATATTATAGTAATAAATTACTATACAATACTCAATGATATAGTAACTAGTAAGAGTAACTAGTGAGTAGGTAAAAACTAAATGGTCAACAAAAAAATGTTACAAGATGTGAAATTTCTGAAAAACGTCTGTATAAAAATGTTTATTACAGATAGTTTTAAACAATATGCTCTCTTACTCGCTTAGTACTTACATATTAATATTGAATAAAATTGGATATATTATATATTTAATCAATGATATTAGGTACTTGAACGTTGTCGTTGTAAACGTTTTAATTTTCTATTAAGCTTGAGTGACAATTAGACAATATAAATAATGTATTAATAATATACAAACACATATTATGTACCCGAGACCCTAATCCAATTATTTTAAATTGCTATACAATTCAAACTACGAAAACTATACACAGATGTCTCAATGTTTGTTACAACTTTACAAGTTTGACTTATAACTGTATAGCTGATTTTCAATGGCAATGTCTGTGTCTATTAATATACTTTGCAGTATCGTTTATTCAACCAACATTAAATATTTACAACATAGATTCTCCCAATGAAAATCTGAACCCATTTTCATTAACGCGATCTAGTTATGAAGGTACAGAACTTTTAATAACAAGCTTATAATACAGTTAACGTTAACCGGAAATTGGAATAGAGCCATAGAGGGTTAACATGTTCGAGACTTCGAGTACTGAAGGGTCGTTCTGAATATAATCTGTTTCTCAAGCTGGCCTAAGCCCATCACTTTGTAATCTTATTCTGTCCCAGAGCTCAACTTAGGAATTTTGGAATTATAATTAGAAACTTAGGAATTATCTAAATTCAAAATTATTCCTATTTGGATTTTAGATTCTGAGTGGAACGATGAATGTATTGATTTTACAATGATGTGTGTTTTTTTTTTTTATTTTTTTTGGGGGTCTGTCATCACCTTTTATGACAATAAAAGTGCTTGGATTTTCTTCAACAGTATCTTTTCTAATAGGAAAGTGAATCTAGTTTTTATTTTGGGGGCAAAAGAAAAAATTTCCCATTAGTTTTCAGAAATGCCGTGAAAAACAAAAGAAAAATTAAGGAAAAACGGGAATTTTTACGCAAAATCTGTTTTCGAGAAAATCGATTTTGGTTTTTGGTGTAACTCTAAAACAAATGAATGTATATAGATATTGATTGTTTGCAATCCCCTTACTCTGGTACCTATACTACCAACTCAATTGCCAGTTCGAAAAAAATTATTCAACTTTCACCTATCACTCGCAAGACGACACGTAGAGTGTATATTTGGCATTCTTTCGAATAAGTGGCGTATATTTTACTGACCGATCGATGTAGGTACACGTAGATCAGTAGATGGTAGATTTCGCAGTCGATATTGTTAAAGGTTGTTGCGATTTACGGTATAAATGCAGTTTAGTTCCCACGCGATTTTTTTGATTTTTTCCCCCCCAAAATATGTGTTTTAAAGCACTGAATACAAAAGTCTAATTCCAAAATTCTCGCAAATCATTATTTTGGAAGTTATAACTTACCAAAGTTTACGATTTTACGCATTTACGTATGCATGCGCGCGAAACGATGTACACTTTGCTTTCCTACGTTTTCGTATTGGATTGTCACCTATTATTAATTATGTTATTTTATTTTGTTATTATTAAGATAATTTAAGCTTCTATAGACTTATGTTACTCTAACTGGCGACCGGAGCCGATAGGCGACGGGAGCCAGGTCCCTTGAGTTTAAAGACCAGAGCCACTATACTTGTGATACTTCAACTAACAAGGTTAAAATTACTTGTTAGGTCACCCGTCTGCCCGAAGTAAACCAGTGCTTGGTAGGTAGTTCTTTAGAGAAAAAACTACAACTATAAAATATAATGACAGAAAAAAGGAAACTAAAAATATTAAAAAAAAATTGTAAGTACCTACCTACATGTGTAAGCTCGACACACTTTTACTAATTTATTTATTTGAACTATATATGTTTTTTCTGCTATGGATTTCAAATTGAATACTTAATACTTTAAGACAACATTTTCCATCTGAATCAATTGAGTATAACCAACATATAGGTCAATTGCCAAGAGAAATCAAGTCAATCGATGAAAATCTCAAGTCAGTGTTTAGGACAACGTGGACAGCTAAGTAGGTTATAAATTATAATTTTAGTAGATCTTTGAAAATGAAGAAGTCTTAATATTTTATGTAGGTATGGTTGGTTTAAAAGCGGGGTTGGCATCACGAAAAAGCCAAGCCCGAAAAAATGCAGGCTGCTTTTTTGGGTTAAGCCCACACATTATTTTGAAAAAAAAACTCATAAAATCCGGGCTGCTTTTCTGGATAAAATAGTGGCAGGTGCTAGACACAGAATCGCTGAGTGACCACCACTACGTCACCTTCAGAACCTCCTCACTCCATCAGGCACTGACTCTTCCCAGGCTGGTCCCTGGTGCACCCCAAGGCTGGTCCGTACGGAAGCTCAACGTCGAGGCCCTCGGCCAACACATCAGCTCCAAGCACCTGGAACTCGTAGTCGGGGAGGACAGTGTCGACAAGACGCTGGCCTCGGCCTCCACACTGGACTCCTTCCTAACGACTGCATGCGAAGTATTCATGCCGAGGAAGAGGCCCGGTCCCCCGGGAAAGCCTGATGAAGAAGCTAGGGTTCCGCCTTCCGGGCGGGGACTCCAGGGCCAGAGAGGCCGGCATCGCCGACTTTCTCTTCCTTGCGGCCCCCGTCACTGACTGGGCCACCGCCCCTTCGGCCGCAGTCAACAACATTTTCGAAGCGTTCGACCCGATCCTGAACGAGTTGTTGTTCACGAGGGTCATCCCGGAATTTACGATCGAAGACCTCAGAAAAGCTGACTAGCGTCTCTCGGCCGGTAAGGCGACCGGGCCCTCGGGAATACTGAATGAGGTACTCAGGCCCTTACTGAACACTCGACCACGCAGGGTTCTCGGACTGCTCAACAACTGTCTTCGCGCTCTGACCTTCCCGCCGTGTTGGAAAAGGGCCCGCCTAGTTCTGCTGCGCAAAGGTTCTGACAAGACTGCGGAAGCCCCGTCCTCCTACAGATCTATTTGCATGCTGAACACACCTAGCAAACTATTGGAATGTCTTCTCCTCCAGAGGCTTGAGGAGCACCTGGACGCTTACGGAGGTCGCAGGAAAGCCCAGAACCAGTACGGCTTCAGAAAAGGCGTCAGCACAGAATCTGCCGTCACAAGGGTCCAGGAACAAGCCGCCCTCGCCAAAGGTCAGAAAGACCTTTGTGTTCTCGTGGCTCTGGATGTCAAGAATGCATTCAATACCTTGAGGTAGCCAGTCATCAATGAGGTCTGAGCTTTTATCTTGTCTGCTATTAAGAGGTTTACTGTACCTATATATAATTTATTGTACAAATGTGGATGTCTCTGGGTTAAATATTAGAGCTATATATCTCGGCACACGATTCATAATTTAAGTTGTATAGGCAAAGCGAACAAAGGATGATTAAAGAAATATTCTCAAATATTCCTTATTCATAGACCATATAGTACAGCCTAACAGAAGTATGTCCGAATGGAATTATGCTGGGATACACACCAACTAAATGATGCCAGAAATTCCACAAGTGTTCCAAAAATTTTGGATATATATGCGGCCATGACCCTCACCATTTTTGTCACATGAAATTTTGAAGACCCTAGACATAATATTACTATATACCTATATAATATCTCATTTATATTATACCGCCCTCTATAAAAAATAACTTAATCCTGAACTATATCTTTATTTAATACGATTAATAACATTACAAAATCAAATTAATAATTAAACTACAATTTATTAACTTTTAAAAAAATATGTAGGTACCTACGTTATATTATTTTCTAATTTCAGTTGAATCATTATATTTGCTTACGAAAGTTTTCTTGAGTAAAAATTATATACAATCATAATAATTATTAAAAAGTTGCACTCCTTGAGTACATTTCTAGTTCGAACAATTTCTGTTATAGATGATGACAGAACTACACCAGTGGTAGCCGGTTAGCCGGTAAGTACTGTATTTAGTTTGTTCATAAAAACAACGAAACATTTTTAAGGCTATAAATAGCTCAAAAAGATATAACTGTTACCATATATGGGAAATGCTATATAAATATTTGTTGAAAATGTCAAGTGTTTACGATAGTTAGTTTTTGGGTTACATCAAAAAAATAAAATTGATTTAGTTAAAATTTGGGTTGTGTAAAAATACCCATAATTCCTTCATTTTTTTCACCCAACACTTTCAAAAACTATTAGGAATTTTCAATTTTCCCTTAATCTACTACAAATATTGATGACACAAAAAAAACACATCATTGTAAATATATTGAATTATTTTTTTTGTGCAAAAATTTCCGAGCTTTGGTTAAGAACAAAATATTTTTCTTTAATATTTTATTTTTTTAATGAACAATTAGTATTTTCAAGAAAACAATAAATTTAAAATTTTTTAAAAAAAATGTTACCTAATTAAATATTAGTTTTAACATTTAACAATAATATATATAACTATAAAATAAAAAATATGCATTTAAAATTTTTAATTATGAAGTACCTTAAATAAAATTGCTTATTTATAGATTCCCTTCTAATTTAGATATGTTTTTCATTAGGAGAAGTAAATATTCATAAATACATTATTAACGAGAACAGCAATCAAACGTATGGGTGACGTCTACGGGTATGTTCTGCTCGACCACTGGTTGATGAGAATTTTTTTTCACACAAGCCACACTCGTACGGTTTTTCGCCTGTATGTGTTCTATAATGTAAAACCAAATGCGATTTTTGCGTAAATGATCGTCCACAAATGATGCACCCATAGGGTTTCTCTCCGGTATGTGATCTTTTATGTATACACAATATAGATTTGCTGATAAACGTTTTGAAGCAAACATCACACTCAAGAGGAGCTTTTCCAGTGTGAACATTTTCGTGTCTGGATAAACTATTGGCGTTGGTAAATTCTTTATCACAAAATTGACAAGAAAACTGGCCTGTGTCGGTCATAGTGGGATATTCCGAATTGTAATCGTCCCGAGCATCGAAGAACTCAAAATTATTTTCGTTATCAACGCCAATACGATCATTATTATCATATGTTTCCTCATCCATGTCCACTGATTGAGGGAAATTGTTTTTCGAAAAGTCTTTATAAGTCGGCTGTTGATTTTGTTTATTTGATTTTCTCGGTGACATAATTTCCGCTTGAGTCATGATCTATAAAATATTTATTAAAAGAATATATTAGATATTACAGTATTATACACATGATATACACGGAATTTAAAATCAATAAAAACGATTCACACTGACTGAATTAAACCCAATTGTAATCATTGTAATACATGACACACTAGTGTCAATATTTATTGATATTTATTTATTTTTTGATCTTAAACAAAATAACAAAGATTAGTAATTTTTGTTTGAATATTTAATTTTGTTAAAATTTGAACTTCAAACCCTTAAATCATATCTAACATTCAAGTTATTAAAAAGAAAAATTGTTTTAGAAAGTGATTTTAAGTTTTAATAGGTAAATTTATAATGGCTGATAATCAAATCTAATGATTTAAATTATATTAAACAAAAATAATAATAAAATACTAAAAACCTAATACAAACCTCAATAACTTTTTTCTGTTGATTCATTTTTTTTTTTGATAATTTATGAAATCTACAAAAGAACAAAGTTATTAATTATTTAACACATACAATTTTGTTAGCCAATCAGTAATTACCCTAAATGGGCATTTTGTTTAAATTTACATTATTTACCTATTTCAGACAAATATTTTACTCAATGTTCATACTCACAATTTAGGATACTCTTCGTGAACTTCTGAAATTCTTGAATTATAAGGAGCGTTAATCGTAGCAGTCTCTATATAATTTAAATAACAGTTTAATGAAATACAATATTTAAATATAGCTTAGTAAAATTAATTTTAATAGAAATTAAATGTAATATTTAAGATTAAAAATGTGATTTATAAAATTAATAAGATTAATGCTGGGTTATGTGCACCATTACAAAACATTTAAAGAATTTTTAAAGAACCAATAGTGAGCTAATGGTTTCTTAAACATGATTCAGTGGACCAGTCTATTAAATGTTAATGAACCAAATAATTAATCAATTGTTCATGCAACCCGACATTAAGATATCTTTAGTAATCCAAAATATAAATCCAACAAAACAATTAAACATTATTGACAATCATAATGATAATTTTACCATTAAGTTACGAAGAAATATAATAGTATAATAGGTTTTATGTGAGATACACAAATATATTTGAATCAAAAATACTACAAATATTAGTCAGAAAATGAATGTCAATATATATATTATATATCCTAAAATTTAAAATGTTTATTAAGACCAAGCTAGTCCGGCGACCGTCGACATCCCAAGTTCTTTGAACTCTCTCACTCGCATACACGAGAAGTGCCATTTGTGATATTATTATTACAGAAAGAATTATTTTGTAACGGATGGGAGGGGGGGGGTGTATAATTTTTTAACATGTACTATTTAGTAATTAAAAATATAATGTATAGGTTTAAGATCATAAATAATGAAATGGTTATGTGAGCGGGAGCCCGATCTATCCCAGTGCCTTATTTATAATTTTTTCTAAGGTGTAGATACCGAAAATTTCATTAATCACACACAGAGTTTTGATGATTTATGAATATATACATCACCCACTCACCCACCACACTATAAATAAAATAATTTTTTTCAAATTAACAAAACAGATAATAGTAAAATAATAAGAGGGAGCTTGGGGAAAGATCTATCTGCATTATCATCAAAAATTTAATAATCTAACAAATCTTATCAATCTGTTAACCAATGATTACTTATAGCCTATAGGTCTGACTAGTAAGGTCTCTAGACTCTAATAATAATTGTTATAATTTTTTGTAACCAAAAATATATACATCTGACATATATTACATAAGAAGTTACTCAACTCCTATAAGCTAATGCCTGTAGAGGGGGTTTAAAGTTCAATAGATTTACACATTTTTAGGATGTCTTGCTACATAATATTTATAATAGTTATAATCTATACATTGATGATAGGTCTTATTGTAAATGTTATTTCCTTTAAACAAGTTTTAAAAGAAACTTCGCATTAAAATGTAGTAAAAATAAAATAATTATTGAGCATAAATATAAAAATGACAAAATAGTTGATAATTTGTGGGACTTGTGCAAAGTTATTTTCAATGAAATTTAAAACATTTGTTTCAGAAAAGACAATGGTAAAATATGCAAATATTACCATTGAATATCTCTTCTGCATCATCTTCAGACATTTCTTCTTTCAAATATTCCATTATTTTAAGATTTTCTTGTTTAGATCCATCTTTTGACGACTCGCTTTCTTCTTTTATTGCTATCTAAAACAAAATGTTTAAGAATATAAAAGGTTTATTTCTTCTACAGAAGTGGCAACAGCTTTCATGCTAACTACCAGCAATAGACAAATATTTCTAAGTTCTAACAAGTCAAATAAACAAAACACTAAGTACCTTAGATTTATTTTTCTTAGTTTTTTTTGATGGATTTTGTAATCTACAACAAAAAAACAGTTTATTCATTAAACAATTAAGTAAAATAATATGTATATTTATGTTAAGATGACAGAAACAGAGGAAAGAACATATTTTATATTAAACTAACTGTATACCCAGAGTTAGAGGAAAAAATAAACAAGCATAAAATTAACAAAATAATATTAAATTGTTGTGAGCCACAATGAAATTATAGTGTGAACCACCTGTAAGCAGTAGTGGACTTAATTCATCATCTAGGGGGGGGGGAGCAATATCCTTTTGGTCTAAACATTTTTCTTTTAACTATTTACTCACTTAGCCCTTAGGCCTATACAGAAGGAAAACATGTATCCAAATGTATAGGCCTTGATTATAACACATAAACACTTCTGTACAGATTTTTGAAAGAAATAAGCTGTTTATGATGTCTAGAGAGAGGAAGCATGGCCCCAATGCACCCTCCCTAAATGGTGTGCCTACCTCTTGGCAACCTATAAAGGTTGAAAAACAAAGCCATAATCACTCCCAGTCTCAAGAAAATGTGTGGAAACTTTGGTGCTAATTGGTTAAGTAGTTTTTAAGTTTAAAAGCCTCATCCAAACATACATTCATTTATACACGGTGAACAGATGAAATAACTTTTGTTCTAATCAATAAATTTTTTTTATGTATAATTTATACACTTGCGCTACACATATTATATAAAAATATTATTAAAATAAAATATAAATACTAAAAATTTTAAATTTTAAATTTAATTAAAATTTTTTTCAGAAAAATTCAAAATAGCTCATTTGTAAATCTGATTATAAGAACAGTTTTGGTAGTAAAAACGTTTAATCTAAGTCTAGTAGTTTTAGAATTTTTTAAAATATCAATATTCTTTTGAGTAAATTTATTTAGAACTTGATAACTATTTTCAAAATATTATTTTTGAGAATTTCCTGTCATGAGTATATTTCTTAAATTATTTATAAACCGTTTCATTATCACAATTTTTGCCATACGTCTAAGTAGCATAATTTTTTTTTTGTCTAGTCTTCCTGTTCTAACTTGTATATATAATATAGAAGGTAGGCATGGATATGTTAAGTGGATCTAAAACAATTTCTTAAAACGTACAGTGCACAAGCAGTTTGGTCAGTTCAATTGCAGTTCAATTAAATTAATTACAACCCAAATTTTGTTTTATTATTTGTTGTATACTTACAAAATATTAAAATGTTCTCGAGTTGTGGAAGCAGTAGCTAAATTTAAAAATAAAAAATAATCAATTCACATTATATAAACAAATTGGTAAAATACTAACAATTGTGAGTTTTAATTTTTTTGGAGAATTCATTAAAATCCAAAAGCATTTCCGACTCTTCATTTATTCTACTATAAACTCTTTTTTCGGTATGAACCGCATAATTTTCACTTCCCAAATTATTTACAAGTTGAACCTAAAAAGTAAAAAAAGAAATGCTAATGAGTAATGACCATTATAATATTTTAATGAAAAAAATTTCAACCAAATATCTAGTCACATAGGCATAAAAAAGATGACATTTATAACTAATCAATTTATTTAATATATATTGTATATATGTATTAAGAAATACAAAAGTTTAAAAATATCTTACTTGTTGTACATTACGGAAGTCCATACGATTCAAATCAGTAAGCATTTGATTTATTTGAGTATAATTTTGAAGCACAGCTCTTGCAGTAGTGTATCTGCGTAGTGTTTGTGCAAAAGCTCTAACAGCAGTCACCTAAAATTAGAAATTATAATAATAATTAACAATAAATGGTTGAATGAAATGCTATAAAAAAAAATAACTTTTATTGAGATAATTTCTTCTGGACATCCTTGCATAGCTGATATAAGCCATGCCTCTAGGCTTTTGGAAAAATTTCTAATTGCATCTGTTAATGTTCCTATACATAATTTATTAATTTATAGTTATATCTTTAAATAAAAAATATATAAGATAAACATACTAGGAACAGGCCGAAGAACATCTGGAATCAAAACTTTAACCAAGTTTTGATAAAATAGCAAATCAACAGTTTTCACAAACAGTTGCAATGTTTTGCACTTTGACAGTGAATATAATTTTTCTTTAGATAAATATTGTCCTCCTTCATATTCATAATTTTGACTACACCAAAATTGACGCCAAAGTGACTCAATAGTGCCAAATTCTAAGTTCATTACGGCACTTAAAAATGCCTATAAAAGCAATATTGTTTAGATAAAAATAAATAAGTTTCAATTTAAAAACAATTAAGTACTTCACAATGTTCACGGTACAAATTTTTGAATGTATCTACATCTTCTAAAGTACAATCATCATCCAATAGTATCTCATCAAATTTAGTATCAGGAAATTCTGGTACAGCATTAGCACCGTCACCTAAATATTCTTGGTCTTGGGCATGAGGAGAAGATGGAATACTGTTTTGAGAATAATTACCAGAATCTGAACTATTGGTGATATATTGATTGCAATTTTGCTCTTCAGTTTTTATTTTTTTATTTTTTTTTGAACTACTACTTTGACTTGTTGTTTCAACAGGTAGGCTTTCTTCTTCTTTAAAGTCATTTAATAATGAATTAGGTTTAATTCTAATACCATAATAATGGTATTTGGAATTTCCTCTAATAAATAAAAAAACTGTTCGTAAAATAAGCCACATAATGTATTTAAAAAATAGCACCTTACCGAGTTCCTAGACGTCTTGTTTGCAATCCCGTAAACACAGATCGGATAAGTTTACCAAATGATGGGGCATTTAAAGGATCCAATTTAGTTTCCGAGCAATGTGTTAAATAATTATCATATATTGTTGATCGAAGTAACGACACTCCTTCAGCCTTTTCATAATTATCCATCAGCCAGTCGACCTTCATAATAATATATCATTGAGTTATTAATTATTATTCCATATAAATTCTATCAACTACTTACAGTTGCAGGAGAAATTTTATTTGCTTGGATGAGACTGGAGTTTTGCGTTTCTCTATTTGACTCCTCGATACTATTCAGTTGATTTATGTTTGTTATACCAGACTCAGTGGCGTTAACTGTATGATATGACATATCCTAAATATAAAAATAAAATATTGATATTTTATTTTTTTTATATTGAATTTATAACAATTTAAGTAATGTATAAAACAAAATACATTGAGGCACATTATTATCATAATATATTCCTAACTATTATACCAAAGATATAAAGGAATTTTGGCTGATTTCTTGAGTGTTAATAATTATAGTACGATCATTGTCAACATTCTGTTGTATAATATAGGTTTCATTACCTATATTGTGTGCTCTACATGTCGATTAACTTAAGGTAACATTTTGAATATGTTTTATATTTCAATATGTTATTAATTTATTATAGTTTTGAAGTTAAAATGAAATACTGAATGATCCAGCAAGTTCTGACCATTAATTTTACACTCTTTGTAAAATATAAAACAGAAGGATAATTTGTTCTTCTATATTATATATTATATACATACAAATATGGAAATATAATTGGTGAGGAATTTTTGGATAATTCTGTAAGTCAAAATCATGGAAATGTCATAATAAAAATAAGAGTTTGTATAAATATTAGTTACTTGAGAAAAAGAATTTGTGCTGTAATAATGGGTTTGATCAGTATGATGCATAGTTCCACTTTCACCAACAGTATATACTGGATACTCCCTGAAAATGAAATGAATATATTTATATAAGCAAACATATAATTTATATTAAGAGGACTTGATACCCGCATGTGTTGTCTCCGTCTTACAAGTGCATAATATAGCAAAACACGTGTAGCTCCGTTAATTTAAAAATTAGCGTAAATTAACCTCTTTTAAAATCTAAAGGTAAGATTATTATCTAAACAACCTCATGGGCATATTATTATATTTAAATTTTTAAGTGAGTTATGAGTACTTTAAAATGTACAAACCTTTTACAATTTTCAAATACTCATAGCTTGCTTTAAAATTAAAATATAATAAAAAGCCCACGAGTTTTGTCTAGATAATAATCTTACCTTTAGATTTTATAAGAGGTTAATTTACTCTAATTACTAAACTAACGGAACTACACATGTTCTGCTTTGCGTAGAATTTGTTATGTTACGCACTTGTAAGACAGAGACAACACATACGGGTATCACGTCCCCTTAAAGGGATCGGTGGCAGACAGTTATTTTAGCCAAAATGTGAATCTGAATTTTCACATTGATTATTCAAAATTTAAATCAGAAATCTTAAAATGTGGAATGACTGATCTCAAGTAGACATAATAACAAAATTCAGATCAGTTTTCTGAAACATAATTACATTATTAGGTGGATAAGTAGGATGAATAAAAGTACAAACAAATCTGCACAAACTGTTGCCCGTTCACAAGCACAACACCGAGGATGACTTGTACATACACCTGCAAGGGATTCCGCTATTTCTTTTACACAGTTACACACATTAACAATCACTTACTAAGCACACATTTACAAGACTAGCATGCATGCAATTTGACAATTGCCTATTTCAAACTCCTTAAAAACTGTCCGCCACCAATTTCCTTAAAATTTATAGTAAAACATTTACATTTCTCCATTACTGAAAGTTGCTTGTTCGCCAATTCCTTCAACATACTGTACATAAGGAGATTGACCAACATCATCATAATCAATAGGTTCTACTTTGGGAACTAAAAAAAAAAAAATAATTAAGCGTTTAAGCCATAATATAATATGTTTTACAGAATAATTATAAAAAATCAAGCTACAATAAACAACAGCACCACAAAGCATAAATCTTAACACAAAGAAATCTAATTTTACATACAATTCAGCCTAAGTTCAGTGAAAATGTTTACACTAGTATGAGGAGCCTTTTAAGCAAATTAAAAATTACTACATCAGAAAGTTTAAACAAAATAGAATACAATATATTATAAAATAATAAACTAGAAAATTTTAACTCAAAAATTTTGAAAATAAAATTAAACAAATGTTTCACTGAGTCTTACCCAACGTAGGTACCGGTGTAAGGGAAGTATAATATGTTCCATGTGTCCCTTCTTAATTGTAAGCGTGTAATTTTATAATTATGATACATGATAATATGAATTTTATATTGCAAATGGAGAACTATTATTGTACAAGAATAAGATAAATATTTAAATTTTATTTGAATAAAATCTGCTTTTATTATACAAAAAATTTCTTAAATTATATTAATATAATAATAGACATTTTGTCAAACTTACCTGATTTTGCAACAATATAATGGTCATTATCAACAGTAACTGTAGAAAACTTCCTATCTTTATGATCTAGGTGATGTTCATCATCATCCGTTGATTTATTAGATCCATCATCATGAACTGCACTAGCTGCATACAATGTAGCATTTGCAAGTTGTCCATTATTGTTGACGTTCTGAAAACATACAGATTTGGATTTATTTAAGATAATGAAGAACTGGGTAAATGTGTATATTTACCACAAAACTTTGTTGTACTGGTTGTACGACAAGAGTTTGACCAACTCTATCTGCTGTTACAACAGGTATAATATTAATTTGGGAGCCAGTACCTGCAGACCCTTCTAATTTGATTCTACTCCCCACAGAAGTCGCCATGGAATTACCTAAAGCAACAATTTCATTATTTTCTTATAACTTGAAAAATAATAAAAATTGAACTTGCAGTTACAAATAAAAATAAACACACATAGGTATAATGAAAAGTAATTAAATTCATATTTATTAAACACTAAAATAATTTTGGATATCCTATATAATGTAATGTGAAAACCATCAATAGATATTATAAGTAAATGTGAATTGATAAAATCAAATTTTGTTTACAAATTCATCAAACAAATAGTTATTTATAAATAGATATAGGTATAAATTATAATTATAATATATATATAATTTATAAAAAATAATAGAAAATTTGTAATTTTATAAAACTTGTAAAATATATTTTATTACAACACCAGAATAAAAATATAGATCACTCAACAATTTATAAAGAATTTGGCACCTTGTGAAAGACATTGGATATTGAATCATGAACATGACTTTAGAATTACAAAGAAATAATTAATACGTACATAAGTAATTATAATTATATATTATTGACATGTTCATAATAAAAACAAATTATGTTACCATAGCAACAGATAACATCAAGTGTATCAAAATATGAATTATCATGGGGTTCAACAAATTTTATGATTATATAATTTTTACAAATTAGATAGACTTCCCTGGTCACAGTCAAAAAACATATTCCTATCAAAAAAAAAAAAATATAATAATTAGGTTTAATCTGTGTTAAAAGTATAAATGATTTTTTTCAATATTAATATGAAAATAAAAATAATTTATAATTAGGTTTAATAGAAATGCAACTTATGTAAAACATTAGCTCAAATATTTTAGTAAACATGTTTGTTTTAATATTATCCTAAGTCCTAACTAACAAAAATAAGTTGTGCCATATAAAAATAATAAACACTGAATAAGAAAATAACCTAAGACATTCATTAACATTAAGTTTTTAAAGTTAGGTAAATAATAATAATTTATAAACTAAATTTTATAATTTCAAGTAATTATAATTATGTAGGCATTAAAAATATAATGCGTTAATGACTATACATATACATTAATTAAGTTATAATTACCTATAGTGTGTTATAATAATTTTGTTTATATTAAGTTGTAAGCAATAAAAACTATTTTCCATAATTTTCGTTTCATTTCGTTGGCCGTAAACGTCGTGTGTGTACAACGGAATAATCAAACATAAATGCATTTTTTGTTCGTGTTAATCCTTCCCCGGAATTGTTGAGTGTTGACGAAAAAAGGCGTTTATGGTGACTATGACTACGGCTTCCAACCCGTTGCTAGGAGCGGTTTCGGTCACAACAAACTCGCAACCATGATAAAATAACAACAAACAACGCACGGTAGCAACCACACTCGACGATGAGCGAACTGAACGTCTGAACATTGAACATTGATTATGTATGCTTAATCAATGAACTGGATATCAATATCATCTTATTCGCCCATCGGATCGACTTGTGCTGCTCATCGTATCCTGTTCGCCTCATTTCATTGGTTGTTGATATTTGCCGCCAAAAACAAAATATATGAGCGCAACCACGAAGACTATCTTTATGCGAGTAACGATAAACGATCGATAACAAGATTATAGGAATAGGTCACGCCGCCGCCCGCCAGAGCCGAGTCTTGTCAGTTGTCTTCGCGGATCGCACTACGCCCGACGCGCCACCTCGGAACGGGTCACCGACGTATTGTCGTGGGAGTGCGTCACTTAGACAGTTACATCATAAATTCGTAATATTTATAAGCTATGCCACATAGGCTCAATTTGGTCAACTGATTTGGGGAGGCTAAATTTATAAAATCAATACATATACACGCATAATTGTTTTATTAGGTGGATTTAAGAACGAATATATTTAAAAACTTAGGGGGGCTTAAATAAAACTAGGGGTGCTAAGCACCCCCCCCCAAATTGCGCCTATGACTACGCGTCTATGCTGTTTGCTGTTACTATTATATAATATTATTATGATCTAAGGCAGCGGACCTCAACCTTTTTATATCCAGGTACCACCTATATAGTTTGACAATTTTCATGAACTACGACAATATCACAGAAAGTCAACATCAAGACGCAACATCAAAAAAAATCACACAAGTATAGATTACAGAATACCGGTACTACGGTTTCTGTTGAATCACTACTGACTACGCACTACATAGGCACAGAACAATTAATAACAATACCCACTTTGTAAGTTCATATGTCTTGATTTTTCGTTATTAGGATGTCGGCGCACCATTTGTTTACTCATTCTGAATTCTGATACATGCGCAACATACCAAATTTATATTTAGTAGAACCGACTCTGTGTTGTTACTTATAATATTAGAGTGAATTCCCCATCATCAAACTTTAACCTAAGAACATTACCTGTGTCCCTAAGTTATCCCTAACATAGAATTATTTACATAAGTAGGTAATTGCATCGTTGAATTACAATCAGGGGTGCTGACTGCTGAAGCACCTCTAGTTATTTTTCATATTATCTTATGGTTATGGACATCGGCAAAATTACTATTAAAATTTACATTGTAATAGGGCACACCCAAGCCCTCAAATTGCGTCTATGATAACAATAACTAAAGAAAAGCTGTATTATTGTTGATGAGCGAATAATATAATTAGTTATAATTTATATTTATTTCTAGAAATTAAAATATGTCTGTCAAACAAGAGCATCCTTTAATTGTAAAACCAGAAACAGAAATAAACATTCCGAAAGGACTAAAACTCCAGATAATAAAGCTGAAGAAACAAAGACAGTTAACACTGAGTAAATATTATATATTAAAAATACTTTTTTCAACTTAGTTGATTTTTTAACTAAGCCATGGTATACCTGAGTAAATTTCTATAAATTGTATAATATTTTATAATTAATCAACAGTGCAACAAACAATCATGCATTTGTATATCAATCTTGCTAAGTCGTATTTAATGCTAGATGACATAGAAGTCCATTTCAAGGTACCATGGTTAAGTATGTGAAGTTGCAATTTATATTATTGCGCTGTATAAAATGTATGGGAATTGTTGTGACGTAAAATTATTAAAACATAAAAATAAAACGCTAGTAGTCAGTGTTTTGTGCCCGCATTAAGCAATTAGTGGAAAACATGTTATATGAAATAGTCTTAACTTCTTGATCTTCTATTTCAGTCGTTGTTGTGACGTGTGCGTGCGTTTGTTTAGTTAAACAAATTTAACATTTTAATATTTAGACAATAAAACATAACTTTAAAAAATATGAATGAAAATTACTTATTATTTTTTCTTTGGTTAATCTGCATATTTTTAGCGCATAGTTTTAGATTACATTGCTAATATTTTTGTATTGTGCATAAATAAGTTAACTCATTTTAAATATTTTTTTTTATAGAACAGAACTAGTTGTTGAAGAGAGGCCAATTTTTGTGTGCAAAAACTGTAATCTGAAGGAACGATATGATTGTTTTAACGACCATGTATCATTTAATCTCAAGGTGGGAATAAAAGTTGATTACTATTTAGCGAGAGATCCATTTTCTCTACTCAGCAAAAGACAATTTTTAATCTTAGGATCGGTATGTTCTATGTGTGATAAAGACGTTTGAATTAAACCTGAATGCAGTATATTTTATTCCAAGTTTTTCTGCTCTATATGTGCAAGAAAATATATTTCAAATTCTCCTACTAGTATCCAAGAAAAAATCAAAACTACAAAAAGAATTTAGAAAATTCAACAATAATTATGAATCATTATTAATCTATACATTTTTGTAAATGGTTTAATTTTTGTATTATATATCATTATTATAAATTTGAACATGTATAAATATATTTAATACAATATTATTGTGAATCATTCTTATTATTTTTTTTTTTTATAATGACATAGTGTATTTTTAATTGAATTTGTAACTTTGTAAGATATCACAAAATATCTCATAAAGTAGAATAAATATATCAATGTCTATTTTTTTTTTGGTAATTATAATTATAAGAAAATATAAATCACTTTTTTTTTTGTAGTTCTGTTAATGTGACAATATACATAATATATCTATGATTGTATCACGGTTTTTTTTTATGTATAACGCGTTATAAGTGCCTAATGGATATTTTGATATGATTAATTTGGAATTTATTATAGGTACCTATTATAGGTCAAATTTTGGTTTAGTAGGTACCATAGATATGTATATAATATGTCTTATACCTAAACTGACATACCATCTCCGCTCAGAATCGTTTTTCTTATACAATGATATTATATCGTTGAATTCAAATTTAATATCATCCATTATACAGTGACCCACTTGTAGCCTACTGTACAGCAGAGCGACACCCATTTGCCCACCTTTTTTTAGTTTTCATTTCTATAAATATCAATAATGTTTTATCTGCTGTGCCAAAAGGGTAAAAATTTAATACAAGGCTCCTGATATATTGCTACAATATCAATTGAAAAATATTACGAAGACAGATCTTGGATACGCTTTGCTACATCATATTCCACACAACATAATATCCAAACATTGTATATGTCTGTTGACTAATTTTTATTGGCCTTTGGCAAATTCAGGCCAAAGAAAAATTTGTTCGTATTTTAAGGAACTTAACATACAGCAATACAGAATATAGATTCCCTCTGTCAAACGTCTACAATAGTAAAGAGATAAGACATGTTTGCAAATTATATTTTTGCTTAAAAAACCAAAACCCAGTGTCATAAATATAAACGTCAATTTATGCCCATTAAAAAAGATAAAAATATATTATGCGGGTTAGCATATGCTTGATAAATCACTTTGTGTACTCCAGTATTTAATTATTTTGCTCTTTTATTTACTCGCAAAATTTGAATTGATATTTATTTCGCACCTAGTCCATACATAGTAACCATAATATTTAAACATATATATTCCATGTCAGCATACTGTTAAATAACATAATTTTGTGTTTTACTTGATAATTTAGTGTCAAAGATTTCGCTTCCAGTTGTTACAATTTATAACTTGTACGTTCGTCTCTTAAAAGTTAAAACAATTAATATGTCTTCAGATAATACTTCGAACCAGTTTGAAGTGTTGGATTATGTCTGTAAAACAAGCCGTGCAAAAGATTGCAGTGGTGCCATGGACCCGATGTTGGCAGGAAAACCCGTTAAACGTCGCGCTTACATAATGCAGCCTTCGCAGATTTTTTTAAGTCGACCCGCCGTGGATTTGGACCATATATTCTCAAGCCGTGCCCAGTTTTACGGTGCGATGGCCGCCAAGCGGCTAAAAGCTGTTTATTACGGCAACATTGCTTCTGCGAAAACGGAAAGCCATGTGCCAAATGATTTGGTAGACCAAATACCAGGGTCTACGTTCCAGCAGCTGGTCGCAAATTGTGTAAAGGACTTGGCGAGGACCGCCTGTGTACCGGAGTTGCACTTCGCCTGTGCACAGAACTTGCCGGCTCAAGTTTCGACGGTCGAAATAGTCGACCCGGTGACATTTATCGAAAATGATCAGGACGTGGCGTCTGGTCAAACGACAGAGTCCGGGATCCAAGTCCACGAGCAGGTGCCACCAGCGGCTAGCGTAGAAATAGAGGTAAAACGTAGACGAACACTTTGGTCCCCCGCCAAAAAATTGTTTTCGCGTATGATATGATATCATGATACCTCAGATTAGAAAGTATTGTATAACGTATTTTTTTATCCCTCATAGATAGACGAAGAACACTGAACAGCTCACGCACTATTATAGGAAGGTGTCGGCTCACGAAAAAGAAATATTCCTTTTTGTTTATTTTTAGGGTTTCCATTGGTTACATATAAATATATAATTATAATATGATAATATAATATATTTCGTTGTGAAATATTATTATTCAAATCAGTTTTCATAATTGTTGATTAAAAACACAATAATAACAGTAATAACAATCAATATAATAATATAATATTATGATATATTATAGGTAGGTTACGTAAATATTATATTATTGTAATCGTAGGCCGTCTCACGAAAGTCAAAGTCCAGCCGGCTCACACTCTCAGCCGTTATCTCGCATTCGCGCTCCCGGCGTGACCGAGACCAAAAGTGCTGAACCGCCTGAACCAGCGATGGCTTACCTTGCTGTCCGGTTGTCCGCCGCATCATTCCACACCGTCTGGCTCGTCTCACACCGATCACTGTTCACTGCTCAGTTACCGTCAGGCCACTCATCCGATAGTTTATATCATTTTTTCCGACAAGTATAAATTACCTGTGCGCGTGGTCAGTGTGGCGCCGTACTACGATAGGATAATAACAAAATAATATCGTCATACACATAATTATTAATAATGTATTATTTTATTTACTAAATAGTTTCGAGTGCCGTGCGATACAAACGCGTTTTTCGTCGCAGACATTATCTCGTGTACACAACATATTATTATAATTTTTTTACAGTTATCGGTATTTGGTTTTAGTTTTTAGTCATTTTATACCGTCTCGGCGTATTCTATGAGAACGGCGTGCCATTTCGTTCCTTAGGTATTATCGGTGCTCACCTTCGAACTCTACTGACTACACGTCATCGTATAATAATAAACTCGGCCGGCCACATCCACCTCGAGTCCACCGCGATGGCCGTGCTGGTCGGAGGCCGAGACAGCGTGGTGTCCATATCGGTGGCTGAGTCGATAAAAATGTTGGCTTTTTCCGTGGTCTGGGGTTCGTGGATCGTCGTCAAGAACGCGGCCGTTCGGGCTGTTACCCCGCTCTGGTCGAACGGCGGTGGCCACGAGAACGACGTCGATGGCGACGACAGAGAGTCTGGCGCCGGGGCCGCTGACGACGACACAGTCGCCACTGCTACCACCGTCGCCACTGCCGGTGGTAATAAGGCCGCCCGCCGGACGCACAGGGACCGTCCGCCGCCGTGCCTGTCCACCACGGTTTACGGTACCCACTCGTACGTCAAAGTCAAGGTTCCATGTTACTGCAATATCATATAATAGTATACCTAACTAATGTACATATGTCCTCTAACTCATAAGTCATAACCAGGGTTCAGGACTTTTAGCACTTATAATCATCAAAATAATTAAAGCTGAGAAAGCACTATTAAATATTTCATTATAAGCACTAAAATAAAACTAAAAATATTAAAATAAGCAAAAAAAAAAACACGACCAAAACTATCAACACATGTTTTTTCTATATTATCGTTTAATTTTTATACCTAAAAAATTTCACCTTTACACAAATCAAAAACTTTTAGTCTTTTTGAGTTTTTCAGAACATTAAACATTTAAACTTCTTTATAGATTTTCTGAAAAATAATTTTAAAATTGTCTAAGAATACCCCCCCCCCCCAAAAAAAAAATGAATTTATTTGGCCGGTTAGTAGATACTAGATAAGCGAGCAAATAAGTCAGTGTTCATTACTATAGTAAATATGATAAAAAGGAGAACATTTATGTTTATAGTTCTAGCTTTACCATAGACAAGAAAAAAACAAACAAAAATTAACTAAAATGTCTAGATTTTTGTTAGTGGCACGTTTCATCATAAATCATAATTAAGTAGAGATATTCAAAACGGCAAAAATAAACAGAAAAACTGGAAATAAGCAATTTTTTTAAAAATTGTTGAAAAAAGAAAAAAAAAGCACTTTCAAATTTCATAATTGCAACATGACTTACATTTCCATTGCACTCTGCTAGATTTTATGTCAAACCATAAAAATAACTGCCATAAGTCATAACTATTACGTGCATATTAATTTCCAAAAAAAAACAAGAAAAATGTCTTTAAAAAATACGAATTAAAGCGCTAAATTTCAAAAAATAGCTTTAAAAGATGTGTTCAATATAATGTTGAACAAAAATCTATTTGTATCATTTAAATTTAAGTAATTAGAATTCAATAATTTTTGGTTATCGCGATTAATGCAAGTCATAAATAAAACCACCTATCTATATTATATACAGTATATACTATACATGTTGCACGTAGGCAAATATCTGTGTATAATAATATTATCTCAATATTGTCAATAATTTCGTTTGCCAAACCGTTGTGGAGCCACTTTGTCTGGTATATAGGTAAACACGTACGTAATACAAATAATACGACAAAGTAAAATAAATGTTATTAAAAAAAAAATGTTCATTTTTAAGTTCTTTGATGTATGGAACAAACGTTATGCTTGGAAAACAATGTATTGGGACATTCAGAAAAAATGCAATCTGTATTTAAATCTGCGCCTTTATGATAATATAAATATAAAATTGTATAGGTGTACCTACTTCGAAAGTTTTTTTTCTCACTTTAAGTGTGGCAATAATTTCATTTATCATTATATAAAAAGTTTTTGACAATTCAAGTACGTTGTATATAGGATATAATTTGTATGCTCGTTAACTTCTTTTGTCCAATAGTTGATCTCGAGTAATTTGAAAATATTTTGAAATTGAATGATTTTAAGTTTATTGAACCTTTGACAACTGCAGGTAGTCGTTACAGGAATTTGTAAGAAATATTCTTAAAACTGTTTCTACATTAGGATCTTGTAGGTTTTGTCTATGACTAATCGATATAGATAAACAGTAACCAGTGGCATTTTCAAATGATAATATATTATCAGAATTAGACTTTGGTACTTCTAGTGGTAACTGATATTTGGTTTTAAGTATTTGGGCTGTTTAGGCGTTTAGGACAAAATTCGATTGTTGGATTTTTTTAATTAACTGGTTGGATAACATCCCAATATTATTTGGATCTATAATATATTTATAAATTAATTTATGAACTTGATGACCTAAAAATCTTGAAATAATTATCAAAATAATCAAAAATGATTATAAATTATAATTGTATTATATTATTATTAAAAGTCACGTTAAAAAGTAAATTAAAAATATATACAATATAAATAATAAATATGTCAAAATGACAAATAAAAATTTTTTGATATGTAATTAGTAAGCACTGCTTACTAAGCAGTCGTAGGTATTTCAAAATTGACTAAAAATATATAAAACTATTTGATCTCGGATAACCTAACCTATTGGTTGTCAGATACTACAGCACGCTCAAGACCGCCTACCCATTAACTACCACTAAATTAAAATGAATATGCTTGTGGTATTATTGAATACGATTACCTATATAGTATCTATTGATTATTGATATTATTATGTTTATGTGTAATATCATAATAATATTATAAAGTTTGAATCAAATGGAATTGGTATTTTTTTTCAACGAAGTGAACGGGATTAGCTAGTACCTTTATTATCAAAACGGCTGATATAGTGATAGATATAAATTAATATAAGTACTATTACAAGTGCTACACCTACTACATGCGGATATTACTATTAATATTGATCAACCATCAAATTGAAATACATTATTAATTGTTCTTAAGCATTTTTTTTTATCATCATCTATCACAAAAAAATGTTAATGCACCAACTATTGGTTATTTGTTGGTATCATATTTTATCCACCTTTCGAAATGTAGAAATGGTATATTTTTTTATGATATGATACTTTTTTTTATATATATATTTATGTATACACCTCAGCTGCTAAGGTTATTGACGTTTCTGATATACATTATATTTTAACGATTTATACAAAATATTTTAAGTATGATACATGAAAGGCCTATGTTATTTTAATTACATATGATATTATCTATATGTATATATGTATAATTTTCTGGACGAGGTTCGTCTCTTTGAGGAGCTGAAGAAGAATCGATGTCGTCTCTGGGTTTGGTGCTAGTATTTCACATAGATTGTAGGGGAGCATCACTGCATCGGTATATCCCTGGAATCCTTCGTCTGGAGGCATTCGTTAGCAGGTGCTTAACTACTGTAGTTGTGGTGTTACATGACGTGTATTTGCGTTCTTCATTTTTGTTCATTAGATGTTCTTAAGTGTTTGACCAATTCTTAATCTGTTGATTATGGTTTGTTTTCTACTTGGGAGTGATACGTTGTGTTCCCATGGGAGGGTGGTTGATTTTACTTCTCTCGGTATGTTATTTTTACTAGCCTCTATAGATACTTGTCGACATATTTTAAATGGGTAATTTAGGAGTTTTTATGTCAAGATATGTTGTTATTTTCCAAGAAAAAACGGGTTGTTTGATTGCCTTTTTACCTATTTTGTCTGTTATCATACATAATATAATTTTTTTTATGCAGCCATATTCAAATTTTAAGAAATAATTTTTATCACTGTGTTTATATACGTTTTGTAATTTATGCAAATCAAATAATTTAAATCACGTTTTGTCTCTATGAAAAATATTATTTTTTAAATTATTTCAGATATTTTTATCAGAATAAAAACCCTTCGTAAAATACGTGTAAAAATGGCTAAGTAAAAAAAAAAAATAAGATCTTTAAGCACTATAAAGAAGTGATATCATAAATAAATGCTAAGTATATTGAATTTAAGTAAACTTATTCTGTTTCAATAATTTATTTAGGTATATTGGCTAGGAATTATTTCATAAAAGAAACAAAGTGTGATGAACAAAATAATTAAATAGCAAAGGACTAAAAAAATATAAATTATTATTATTTTAAAAATATTATTATTAATATTTATAAGCTATTCTAAATAATTCCTCGCCAAGTACCTAAATAAATTATTGAAACAAAATAAGTTTACTTAAATTCAATATACTTAGCATTTATTCATGATATCACATCTTTATAGTGCTTAAAGATCTTATTTTTTTTTTACTTAGCCATTTTTACACGTAGTTTAAGAAGGGTTTTTGATGTGATATCACTAATTTTTATTGTTATTAAATATTGAGTATTCATACAATAATCTATAAGAACTATAGTTTTGTTAATTGTTGGTAACAATGAATACGCTGATGCGACGACGACGATGACGGCTACCGTGATTCTGAATTTAATATAAATTTCCATTAAAAAGTTTGCACTTTTAAATTTATAACTTAATTTCTGAAAGTACGATTTTGATGATTTTTACAAAAGCACGTTATACACAATATTTCTGATGTTTTGGAGTTTACTAGGAGTTAATTAATGCATTAGAAAATTAGTTATGTCGTATAACAAATTGACCTGTATTTTACATAGTTTAAATAGGCAACTCCTGCTTCGATATACTATACACACAGCGTCGTGCAGTTATTTCTTTTTTTACTTAGCTCGCGCCACGACAGTGGCGCTGCATATCTTGAAATTTCTTTAGTTCCAATCACCGCAGGTATGAGTATTACGACTAATGGATCTTTTATATTTTTAGGGTGTTAAATTTCATTACGTTGAATGTGGCGACCCCAAAGGCATGATTGTTATTTTGCTACACGGATTTCCATCATGTTGGATTAGTTGGCATCATCAAATTCCCACCTTGTCAAAACATTTTCGGTAAGTAACTAATAAATAATTATTATCTGGACTCTTGAAGCATTTTTTTAAACGTTACTTAAGCGGATTGGAAGCTGTGATTTTCTATCTTTGTCTAACACACGTGACATGGAGGAATTTTGACGTGTTTTCATTCCAACGTACCGATTGATCTATATTCTATATAGTAGTGAAGCGATAAGAATTCTAAAAACAGACATAAATTTGTCGTCAAGTATACTTAAGATCGACTATCCCAGGTTTTTAATTTTAGATTCTGAGTGGAAAGATGAATGTATTGATTTTACAATAATGTGTGTTTTTTTATTTTTTTTTGTGTTTGTCATCACCTTTTATTACAGTAAAAGTGCTTAGATTGTCTTCAACAGTATCTTTTCTGATAGGAAAGTGAATCTAGTTGGTACTTTGCGGGGGTCAAAAGTAAAATTTTTCCCGGCAGTTTTCAAAAGCGCCGTGAAAAACAAAAGAAAAATTAAGGAAAAACGGGAATTTTAACGCTAAATCGATTTTTCACAATATCGATTTTGGTTTTTGTTGTTACTCTAAAACAAATTAACGTATATACATGAAAATTTTATTTTTTGTTTTAAATTGCATTTTCTATAGACGATAAAATTTTTGAATTATTATGATTTGTTTTGAACTGTTTAGGAACATTTTTATTTTCCGTTTTTTTTTGTTTTTTTTCTAAAAATATCAATAAAATTTTATTTTCTAGTTAAAAAAGCTTGAAAATTTAGTAGAAGGCTCCTAGTACATGGTTTCAAAGGGCGATGAAAAATATTAAAAATCCTCAGTCACAGTTTTTTTTTTATAAGGATTTAAGTTCAAAAATTGACAAAATTTATCACATTTAAAATTTAATAATAATTTTATTGTTATAAATTTATAAAATGTTCAACTTTTATAGCTAATGATTGAAAATTTAAAACAAGATTCTACTTAAATAGGTTGTGTATAAATTACTTTATTCACCTTAGTATCATCAAATATACTTCGTAATATCATAGGCTGACTAACCGTTTTCGCTCAGAATCGTTTTTCTTATACAATGATATTATATAGCATTGAATTCAAATTTAATACCTTCCATTAAACAGTGACCCACTTGAAACTTAATGTACAGCAGGGCGACTTTTAAATTTTATTTGCTCCAAAAATTGAAAAATATTTAATTTCCTCATTTTTTTAAGATTTAGGTGGATAAAATCAAAAATGTGGGAAGGTCGATCTCAAGTACACATGACGATAAATTCAAATCTGTTTTTAGAATTTTTATCGCTTCATTATATCAATCGGTACATTGGAATGAAAACACGTCTAAACATCTATGTTCCACGTGTGTTAGACATAGATAGAAAATCACTGCTTCCAAAATCCAAACCCTTTAAAAACATATCGACAGTAATTTTACCTGATTTACTATTTTATCTACTGAAGCTGTAATCATTTATTAGGGGCGCAGAGCGCGTCTTATTAATTAGTCACTATAAATAGATTATTTAATAGCCTTCATTAATTTATAAATTACGACTACAGTATACTTTTTGTTATGTAGGTACAAACATTTGTATATTACAAGGTCATTTATATACTATACTAGCTGATCCCGTGCACTTCGTTGCCCATTAAAAATGCCAACTCTATATGAATAATATATGTTTTTTTTTATAATATAACTGTTACCATAAGAACAATTTTAAACCAATGGTAACCAATAATAATTATTATTATTATAGCTTTGAAACCAACGGCAACCATTTATAAACAAAAATTTCCATCGGAAATCTCAAAATCTTTGTTTGAGCACCTGATCCAGGGGGTTGGTCCTCTCCCTTTTTAAATTCACATATCTTCTGCACAGATGTCTATAATCTATCAATATATATATATAAATATCTGATCCCGTGCACATAATTTCCCGTTAAAATTGCCAACTTTATATGAATAATATGTTTTACATATCACCATTCACCATGGCAACCATTTATATACAAAACATTCCATCGGAAAATTCAAAATAATATATATATATATATATATATATATATATGGTTGCCATGGTAATATGGACACACATACACACACACTGACATACATTCATTTTTATATATATAGATAGACTATTTACTATATATCATCGGTACATTTATAAAATGTTTTAAGTTCTTTATGAAATGTGCATTAATAATATAATTTAGGTTTATAATATTTTACTATAGATAATCAAAATTTGGCCTCTACACGACTACCGACCAACGGTATATAGGTACTTTAAACTATATAATAAATCAATGACAGTTGATTTCAATAAATTTAAGCATAGTTAATTATTTTTCCAATAATTATAATAATAATATAATAATATTCTTCTGAGAAATTACTTACCCATGTTGTTATAACTTTTAATTAAATAAATTGTTTTAGTAATAATTAATTGACAGATAAGACAGCTTAACAATAAAATTATTCAGTGGTTTAGTATACTAATAATTTCGAATGAATTGTAAAAATTTGTTTTATTTTAACATTTTGGAAGATTCGGGGTATTACCCAAGAGAATAGATAGATTTGCAAAAATGAATTAAGCCATTAATATAAATTATATTGTGCAATTAATAGGTAAGTCAGTAACGTACACAGGATTATAGTTTGGTTAGGGTTTTATCCGAGAAAATCATTTACATTATTTTATTCTAAAACAGTTTTTATATAATTGGTTATTACTTATTACAAATAGTTGTTAGTCTCAAATTTAGTCAACATTGAGAACACTCGAGTGTTTAACCTGGATACCTGGTCGTCTATAGATTCTGTTCGGGTGGTAATCATCGATGGATGATACATGATGATTGATGATACACCATATGTTAATTATGGCAGACGTTTAGCAAAGTTCTAAATCAGCCAAAAAACTGAAACTATGATTATCGACGTCTTTGTCATATTTAACAATTTATTTTGTATCTACTAAAAATGCCCAACAATTGGTCGACTCAGTGTATTATGAAACGGTGGTAGGTAAATAAGATTTTTTTGTAAAAGAATGACATTTCAGGGGGAGGGTTCAGAACCCTAAAACGCTAGAACCCTCCCCTGCGTACGCAAATAAATTTCTTCGTCAGGGTTAATATTATTAAAAATAAAATAATAAAAAAGATGGAAAAGTGGGTATACTACTCTGCTGTATAGGTAGTAGTTGTCGAGTATGTCATTGTAATTGATGTGTTATATTTGAATTCAATAATAAAATCATTGCATACGAAAAACGATTCTGAGATGTCATTCTAACATATTTTATAAATAATCAAATTAAAAAATTTAATAAAAATCAAAAATATCTCATGGCTGTTATTGTAAATAGCGTAACTTTCCGGTGAACTATTTTTTGTTATGGATATTCGTGGGGAATCCTTTAATTAACGTTTCTAATATTAGCTATGAAAAGAAAACTTTTTCTAAACTAAAAAATAGGTAGAAAATTGTTGATGAACGTTGTCAATATTTGAACGTTAAATGCATATAAAAAAATAACCCTGCCTACACATTATATATCTTTGAACTGCCATAAAGCAACTTATGAGGACCCCCCTGCATTCAATTTGCATGATTTTTTATTAAGCGAAAAAGTTTAATCAACAATAAAGTATAAATAAAAATTTCAAAATGCTCAAGGCTATTAATAAATAGCTCTGAAAGAGTTAAAAAACACACATAATTGTAAACACGATACATTCATTCACTGCTCTCAGAATCTAAAAAAGCATTAAAATTGGTATTATTATATACCTCTAATAGTTATTATATTAGGTTATGATACTTATTTAAAAAATAAATAAATTTGGTTTAAATGAAACAATATTAAACACATTGTTAAGGGAATATCTTCGGGCTGCAACCAAAATATTGGAAAGGAATAAGAGGTTGAAATGTGACGTAATCGTTATCCTATCCACAATTTGGTGGGTGCTAGAAGGGCTTAGCCCCCCAATCCTAGATGTTTATAACTTCTATGATTGTTTATCAACTTACATCAATAACGAATTACAGACGTACCGTATTATGGAATATGTTCTGAACTGTGAATAATTAGTTCTTATAGGTAGCATAAATAGATTAAAGATTAAAATTAGTATATTTTACGTGCCTACCTAGGCTAGTACGTGGTTTACCCTTTTGTATAATATGTGATTTTCCGTTGTCATTATAGGTAGTTCACAAGCAGATGAATGATAGTACATAAAAATATAAAATGCCGTTAGACTTTTCTTGAATTTTAACATTTTTAATAACACAGATACAATAATTGAATAAGGGTAAGTTGTATATCTACAACCGTGGTAAACGGACACACAGGCGTTTAGGGCCGAGATAATAACGGCATTGCGCTCTACCGATCGTGGTCGGTCGTCAGAAGTCTGGTTATGACCGTACGTTAGTAAGTCACCACTAGAGTGCGGCTTAATGCCAACTCACCAGTGGACACAGGTAGGCCTATATTATGCCAATTTGAACCATTGATTTTAAAATATAAGTAAATACCGCATAGGGCGCATACCGTATGGAATGGAGTAAACGGGTCCGTGGTATAAATAGTGCTATTAATATGAGCTTAGGTAAATATCTTCAACATACATTGTATACCGCTTACTTGTATTTTTCCATCGTCATAATGGAAAATAGCAGGAAAATATTATACACTATACAGTATACAACCACCTAATTCATAGCTCATACTACAACAGCGCGTATCTCAGTTTTTGTAATTTTTCAGGATGATTAAAAAAAAACATTATTTAAATTATGTAATCCCTCAATACCTACTCAGACAGCGTTTTGTAATAATAATATTATAATAGTATTACGATAACGTTACACTAATATTATTCGTTATTATAATGTTATAATATTATTAAACAAAAAATTTCTGTCTGCGATATACTAGCTGCAGGCAATGATAAATTAATATATTTTGTACTAATAATGTATTATAAAAACACAAATGTTATATTTAATGTAAAATATAGGTTTTAAATAAGATACGTTCTGTTATAAATCAATAATATTGAAATAGTTCTTTCAATAAATTGCTATGTATGTGTTTTAAAATTATTTATTGTTTTCTTATGAAAACTATTTTATTTATATTTTATTTTTTTAACTAAATTTTTTTTTTGCAATTAATTTAAAAATATTTTCTTTATTACATAGGTAATATTATATTAAATCATTGGGTCATTCCAAAAATACTAAATCTACTTAATCCAAAAACGAGTATTTTATTTTATTATTGGTATCTTATTTATTATTAAATGTTATTTTTTTCCGTCATAACGTGGACTGATGTCATATAAATATTTCCTAATAGCTGATCCCGTGCACTTCATTGCCAATTGAAAGTGCCAAGGCCAACTATAATATTATGATTTATTGTATATAATGAATTTCTATACGTTTCCCACCGACCAGTAACGATGCATCCTTCGTCTGCGCAGGATCACGTATAAAAGAACTAACATTATGTCGTTCAAATTATCACATAAATAATTTTTGAGTCACGTTTGAAAAATTGAACATTCAATTTATTGTTAACATAATAAATACGGTAACTAAGCACTGTAGAGCCATAATCATTGTCCTATATATAGCTACTGCAGTATGCTTCTATAAACTATATTCAACGATTTTTTACCTTCAGCATAAACATGTAGATTTTTCGCTTTTGAAACACGTGAGCAAGCCACATATAGCTTATGTAATTATATATGTAATTCATCTTTGAAGACGCCGAGCTTGAGACTGTTCGGGTGTCTCCGCACTCGCAACCCTATAAGTTGCCTCACGAACTACCTGTTCAAGCCTTCGCAGTTCGGCTTGTGGAAACGTATCGTTAAATCTAGCTACTTTCATAGTTCGAGCTTTATTAGAGCTTTGGCAAAGATTAGACTTACGCTTTCATGGCATAATTCTTAGTAAAAATTCTATACTTGCAAACAAAAGAAAACAAAATAGAAAATAGAAAACAAAATCCGTGATTGATTGATTGATTGTTTTTTTTTTTTTTTCACGGAAACCAATAATTTATTGTTATAATAGCTTTAAAACCCATGGCGACCATTTATAATCAAAAATTTCCAACTTAAATATCTAAATCCCCGTTTGAGCACATACCCTGGTATGAATTAGGGGGGGGGGGGTGATTTGTAGCCTATGTGTTATTCTGATGTATAAGCTATATTATTGTAAAGTTTCATTAAAATTCATTCAGTAGTTTTTACGTGAAAGAGTAACAAAGTCACAGACTTTCGCATTTATAGTATTAATAGGATATTACTGTCGAGATTAAATTCATTAAATTTGTTTTAAAATGTATTAATGTAATGTTACAGTTACGTTTAGCTTAGGTACAACAAAAAATGTTGCTCTCGTCTTTATTTATTCTAAATTTGCTTCAATTAAAATTACCAATTATAATTCACTATTTACAATGACGTGTTTAAAAACTTCAGAAATATTCACATTCTTGATTCTTACTGTCCAGTTAAGAAAAACGAATCAAACTGATATATTGTCAGACTGAGTCTACTTGAATTAAAGAATAAATAAATCGGTAGTCATATATTTTATTATATTGATACAATGGTACATCTGGTGTAATAAAGATATATAGTCCGTCTAATATTATATAATATGTATTATGTTTACCCAAAAGTTCTCTGATTAGGCTGATTTACCAGGTAAAATTATAAAATATCTTTTATTCTATGTGTTTAAACATAGTGTAGCTGTGTACTATAGTGTCTATTTGTACCGGGTCGTGCTGGCTTTTAGGCCAATGTGCGATGTGCCTAAACGTCCAGAGCTCAAGATAATAAGGTGAATGTAGGAGGGGCATGACCCATTGCCACTCTTGGCTACGCCACTGTAACCCATAACACTACATAATTAAGTTTAGTGTTTTTAAAATAATATTGTACTAAATATCAAAAAAATTTAATATGAATGGTTTTTATTATTTTTTTAGTTTTAATTGTTATTATCTATGTTCTATACTATTATTATATACATGGTCACCTAAATTTTAATTAATTTATACTATTCCAACATTTCAAAATTCTGAAAAGGATGAAGATTACCGATTAGGTATAATAGAGTATTTTAGTTAAAGCCACTAACTCGGAAATGTGTATTATTAAATAATATTATATACCTAGTCCACTTTTATAGTACCTATAATCAAACTTCAAAATGAAAGACGCCAAACAATAATTATGTATATTTTTAATTCTGAGTTATTGTATTTCAGTGTAATTGCTGTAGACCTTAAAGGTTTTGGTGACTCTGATAAACCGTCAGCACGCAAAAGTTATCGAGTTGAAAATCTGATCAACGAGCTAGCCGTGTTTTTGTCAATGCTAGGAGTGGATGACCAAAATAAATGTCATGTGATCGGCCACGACTTGGGTGCTCTATTGGGCTGGTATCTGGTACATCTGTGGCCCAACTGTGTGTCAAAATTTGTAGCCATTTCATGTCCACATCCAAATGTTCACTGGGAGTACTTACCTCCGTCAAGTTTTTTCAACAAAAAGTAAGTTTGTCTGAAAAGACCAGAAATATCACATACTCTGTGAGCCTTATTTGTGGGTAGAGTAAAATTATCGATTATCAAGTTCGTTACGACTGATAATAAAATATATTTTATCAGAATCATCCTGCAGTGGTTTACTACACATCTAGGTACCTACCTTTAGTTGTATTCCTATATAGATAAAAGTTGAAAATGGCGATTTATAGATTTAAATATTAAAAAAATATAACTCTGAGACTCAAGATCTTTCAAGTACCTAGTTCTAATGGAACAATATACGTTTTGCTGTAGAAAATAAGGTTTTGAATCGATGACATTGATTCAGCTATAAATGTTTACACTTTTGATCTTGTATCAGAACGACTTAATCTTAAATGTAGGTACCTACATATTATGATATGACATGTTCAATGATTCTGTAGGTCTTTATCAAGTCAAAAGTATGGTTTAAAGTTAAATAGATTCCTAGGTATTAAGTATAGCCACAAGCTGGCCAAATTAAAACAAAATTGCTCACTGCAGAGCGAGATTTTTGTGTTAATAGTAAATATAATAAGTCAATGATGTTATACAGAAATTTGCTTTTATTATATTACAGTTGGATTTGCTTCAGTCAACTTCCTTATTTACCCGAAATGGACGCTTTGCAAAGTGATCTAAAAATAATCAACCAATGTTATCAACACCTATCCAAGAACAAGGAAAGCGATGACTCATCTTACATCGACGCATATAAATATACATTTTCAAGAACAGGTGATAATAATTATTAATTTAATACAAACAACGAAGATTATGTATTCGTTTTATAGATTTCCCCTACACCAATTAATATTACTTTATAGCAGTCTAGCTTATTGACATTTTTGTGTTTTTTTAGAGGATTGGACGGGTGCTATCAATTATTTTAGAAACTTACCATTCTACAGAATCGAACCACGGAGTAATAATGATTCTTTAAATAAAGAAGAAGACATGCTCCAAGTTCCGAGTTTACTCATCACCGGTAGTAAAGATGTTAGTGTGCAAATAGAGAGTTTTATCAAATCCACAGAGTTTCTAAAAACATCTACTGTAAGAATAATTGATAATGCATCTCACTTTCCCCACCAAGAGCAACCTAAAGTAGTCAATGATTTATTGACATCATATTTAGGTAAGTTTTAAAATTATTATTTCTTATAATAAATAACTAAAGTTATAGTAGATAGTATAATATAATATTATGTGTATAACTGTATACGTTTATAAATGTTTAAGATATATAAATATATAGGTAATAGATATACCTAAATATGCTAGTTGGGAATATAAAACAATATTATGTCGTTATGAGTGCATGCGGTCTCCTAAGGGTGCTTACAAACTCCGCCACAAGTACCATTTTTTAGTATTACTTATAATTATAAAATATGTAGGTATGTTATGTTATTTGTTATGTGATGTTATAATATTTTGAACGGTTAACTAAAATTGTGTGATACAGTTTGTAGATATTCTAATTTTAAGTCTAATAAAATCCATTATTATAACTACCTACCTATTTATAGCGTTCTGTAAAAGTCTAATCTATCATTATATATTCTGAATATTATGTTGATATGAATATATTGATTTTACAATGTGTTTGTTTTTTAAAATGTGTTGTGTCTATGTAGGTACACGATAAGTAGTCGAAATAATGCTTTAATTTTCAACTTCAGTATCTTTTCCGGTGGAAAGTGAATCTAGTTGGTGCATTTGCTCCTGCCGTCAATTTTAGTTGAAAAGACCTAAAATATTGACAAAATTAAAGTTAGTTAACGTTATCCGATTTTGATTCTGTAAAAAAAATTTGAGCTCACCAGAAAATTGTCTGTAAATAAGCCCTTTGTAAAAACTAAATTTTATATTATTGTGAACTGTAATTGTAAACTTGAAAATATGAACTTTTTCGAATCATAATTAAAATTAAAATTAATATTAAAAACGGAAAATGTTTCGTACGATCTACAGACATTTTTCTGCTGAATTCAAATATTTTTTCAGAATCAAAACCAGCCAACGTCAACTAACTTTAATTTTGTCAAAGCAAATGTATGTTTTTGTAAAATTCGTGTAGTGAAATTTATATGGTTATTGAGTTGTTGACATGTGCATGCGCGTACGAGAGAGAATACATTTAATTTCACTGACACTAATAATAATTTACAACTAACACATATAGATCCCGGGCGTCTACGACAAGATTAGAAATTGCCTAAATGTTGCCCCTTAAATAAAGACCGTAGCTAGGCCCCTTAAATACCGAACATCACTTATTACCACCTGGCATCTATACCCCCCAACCATTAAAAACATTTCTGGGGACTTTACCCCAGTTGGTCCCCGAGATTTTTGACGTTGTACTTCTATATCTACCGTCCTCACCAATATAACAGTGGTTATTCAATTTATTACTATGAACTTAACGATTTAGTAGTTGTCTTAAAGGTATAGATTTATTATATTATAATATGTGTATGTTGTACGTATTATATTTGCCTAATTGTCTCAAATTAATGTATTTCTGTCACAGTTCGTGTAAAAGTAGTTCAAAAAGAGCTTCCACCACGGCAGAACTCTAGTGGTATAGTTGGAAGAATGAAAGATATCGTTTCATCTACCGTTCAGTATGGAAATACGTTGAAAGATTCAGTGCAGAAGAGAAACATTTTACCAATTACGGCCATGACGTCATCGTGTCAGAACTAATCTTCTTGCATCGAAAAAAGTGTTCTTTTTTTTATGTAAATGAATTTATTGCATCAACATAATAATAACAATAAGAGAAATTTAACTATCTATAATATTAATTATTGTAGTTACCTACCTATTGTTTACTAATAAAATAATTTTAAAAACTATTTTAAATAGTAAGCACAGTGTTACAGTGCACAACTACTCTGTACACGCGTGCTATGTATTTATCTATATAACAATATGATGGGTGATAAAATCGTTTACATCACGTGCATATCTAGGAACTTAATTAGTCTTATCTACAGTGTTTTTATTGTAAATTATTAATAAGCTAAATTTAAATTTATATAAATTATAATATAATCGTTCGTAACCCGACTAAACTTCAAAAGTTAATAATAGGTATTTTATCTGAAAGTTAGGTATGAACAAATGCTTATAAAATTGATTTTGTTATGAAACCTGTAAATTACTTTATAACCTAATATACCTATACTTATAAGTTATAAGTATTTGAATGTAGTCTGCAGTCTATAATTATTATTTATAACAATATTTTTATTCATTATTGAATCATTGATGAATTTACTTTATTATACCTATAGTGTAACCAGTGGCGTTGCCAAGATTATGAAAGTGGGGAAGTGGTTTAAGTATAAATTAAATTAAGTTTTTTTACAGTTTTCGTTTATAAACAATAAACGAATTAGGGAAAAAAGTTAATTGGGCTGGTTAAAAGCCCAAACAAGACCCCCCCTGGCTAGACCACCTTAGGGGGCGTAACCGTTTTCCGCCAAATTGACCCTAGCCCGTTATCACCATGGCCGTTTTCCGCCAAAGGTTATATTCCGATTTCCGCCAAAACAAATTGATACATTTTTTTTTGAGAACCCCTGAACTGAATCCATCAATTAGTAATAACTCGATGTACGCGCCTCACCTTGTATCACACACGCGCTTCACCCCACACAGATATTGATTACAAACTATTATCTATATTTTATCTTACTATTATTATTCACCTATTTATGTATAGGTACCCACTGTATTTTCCAAAGCATACGCTATTATATACGAATTGTACGTAAAAACAGTATAAGTGTTAATTGTATACATTTGAGTAAAAAATCTAGCACTGTATTGGAAAGTGCCATCCATGTATATAGTTTGGACATCACATAAGAATTTTAAATTTTTTGCACATGAAAAAATCAAAACATTTTTAGAATCATCGTTTAATAATAAGAACGGTTCACCTTGCATTGTCAAAATGTTCATATCTCGTAAAGAGTCGTGCATAGATTGTATAGAAGTTGGATTAGCCGGAAGAATTTTTCGTCGGCTTTCATACATATTTTTTCGTACACGATCTACGTCTTTAACTGAAATATTAGTACATACGCTTTGTCCAATTTCCCGTAAAATTATTTTTTTGGGCCTCATACTTACATCTTCTACCGCTTTACGCTTACAGGCTGAATTGATAATTTGTCTGTCAATTAGACGTCTATCGATAGCACTATGATCTGCTGCATGACTTCCTTCAACCTTGACTAGTACGTAATTCGTTTTTGTAAAAATTTTAGCAGTACATTTTTTCTCGTAGCACCTCCACCGAGTAATGCCGTCTTTAGATGTATACGCATGTATAAATTTAAAATTGTTGTATATTAGCATAATATTACCGCGGTTACTGGTTATCACTTCAATATTGGGTATATTCTCCGACATTATAGAAACTTTTTTATAGAACGCGGTTTCAACTGAAAGGTGCAGACTGATAGCGAACAATAATCCGTGAATTATCCGCCGATATCGCTATAATAATAGCGCGTACATCGAATCAACACTATTTGATTTTGATGGATTCAGTTCAGGGGTTCTCAAAAAAAATTTATCAATTTGTTTTGGCGGAAATCGGAATATAACCTTTGGCGGAAAACGGCCATGGTGATAACGGCCGAGGGTCATTTTGGCGGAAAACGGAAACCCCCAGTATAGGCGTGTAGATAGTAATCATTAATAATGCCAAATAATAAGCTATGCTGTATAAATCAAGTTGCTCGTGGTCACGTGAAATACCTATCTCCATCGATAGGTATTTTATTGGTGGATGTAATTAATAGTTAAACATGATGATGAAACAATATACTTCAATGGCTGTAAATCGGTCTTCCTGCAGTATTGGATATTTGAATATTATTTAAACGTTTCAATCCAAAGTGAAGGTATAGAAAGAGAATATTAAGAATATTATTCTTTGTCTATATAGTATAATAGTATCGTATACCTATATTATTGTCTTTCCCTGGTATATTATTATGCATGACGTATACCACCAATTTGACTGTTTGACTGTGTTTATTAATTATATTTTTCTCGTTTTATTTAAAAAAAAAATAAAGTAATAAAACATAAATATAAAATATTGTAATCGTACGCCACGCCGGCTCCCTAAGTCCACACAGCCTTAGAAAACATGTTCCATGACACGTCTCACTGCTGAGGCCGTTATCACGCGCTAGCGTCACACGCACACACGCCAGAGACCAAAGTGCCTAACCAGCATCAACCTTCTCTCTGTCCGTATCGTCCTGCTCGTAGCGCAGTCCACGCCGTTCAGTCAGTCGTCGTCACACCACTCGTGCGATCGTGTGATTATTTTTTTTTTAGAACGACACGTAACTCACTCGTGTTTCGCCGTCGCTGCAGTGGTGCCGCGTACCTACTGTGCAATAACGCCATAATATCAACACCATGAACTTTGAAATATTTATTTAATTTAAGTCGTGTGGCGTTCCGTATAATAAAACCCCGTTTATACCGACTATAATATTATTATTATCGAGTACTATCGTATCTATAATATTGTTCATCGTAATCAGTTCGGTATTATAGTTGTTCGTATTTACCACGATTTCTATACCGATAGACGTATCTTCGATGATGCTTCTCCGCGAACTCATCGTATATAAATAACAATACATTCGGTTAGCTCAAGTCCACCACCTGCACTATGGCCTTGCTGGTCGGAGGGCGAGACAGCGTGGTGTCCATATCGGCGGCCGAGTCACTCAAAATGTTGGTACTCTCCGTGGTCTGGGGCTCGTGGATCGTCGTCAAGAACGCGGTCTCCAGGGTCTTCAGCCCCCTGTGGTCCGACGGCGGCAACTACATAGACCTGGCCTCCAGTGAAAATGCCGTCATCAATGCCCGTGGAAAGGCCATCCACCGGGCGCCCATTAGGGACCGTCCGCCGCCGTGTCTGTCCACCACGGTTTATGGTACCCACTCGTACGTCAAAGTCAAGGTTACATAACAATATGCAATACTGCAATATCATAATATACCTATAACCTATATAATATATCGGGTATACCCATCGGCGGAAATCCGGGGAGTGCGGAGCTTAAGCCCCTTTAAAAAGTCTTTCAAGCCCCCAAAAAACTAATAAAAAATAATAGTAATATTGTTTTTCTTTATTAATGATGTCCAAAATGTACTATGTGTAGGTACATAGCTTTATTATATTGGTAAATATTTAGGCTGAAAAATATTCATTGTAGTTATCCTTCTAGTGCTGTTTTGTGAACGGCAACCGACTGTAATTATTTTTAAAATAAATTTTAAAGCTGAGAGCTATGGTCTCTGTTGCATACCTAGTCAGTTTGAATTCAATAAATTCAATAAATAATTGTAGCATTCATACGAAAAAACTATTCTGAGTGATGGGGACGGACTAGTTGAACTTAAAATGTCTATCAAATAAAATTATGCATATTTATTTTTAAAGTTTTTTAATTGTGGTAAGATTAGCTTCAGAGGGACATTGCATCACATTTTTAAATTTAAATTGTTTAAATTTAAATAGAATGAAGTTTTAAGTGCAAAATGATTTGTGAATGTTCTGGATTTGAGTAGGTACTTACTAAAAAAAATTTCCCTTCCCCCATAATTGTAGGTACCCGGTTCCATCTATGGGTATACCGACTTATTTTAAAATATTACATAGGTACTTATACTTATAAAGTTATAAAAAACAGTTATTTTTATTTTGTGCGACTCATCACAGGTCGCCTAAACAATATAATGTCTTAATTTCTTAACACCGCGTTTTGGATACCATTTTTCATCGCTGGCCGTCTATTTTATGTCTTAAACTTTGCAGGAGTCTTGGTCCCGCCATGTCATACTGATATTCAGTATCTGTGAAGCTCGACCAAGGGGGGATTATACAATTGTTTAATACAACTCTCGATACGGTGAGCATAAACATAATACATTATACTACACTTATGATCAACTTTTTTTAGTTGTTTTAAACAGAAAATATTAGGTATATTCATTTTAAAATTGTTTTTAATGTTAATTTGGCTATTTTTTTATTATATTTATAAACATAATTTATAAATGAGGTTAAACTCTTAAGGGGTAGGAGGAGTTCCACCTATCCAAAAGGGCAGTGTTTAATATTTGTCATACACATGAGGCACATCATAATCCGTCGTGCGTCAATGTTTTATACGACTATATAGTAATTATATAAATTATTTATATACATATACACACATGCACATACGTACAATATGTCAATATGCACATTGTAATATTGTAAATGGTATACGTTTACATTTTATGAACAACAACGGATAGGATAATTTTTGGCCAACCGAGTTTGAAAACTTTTATCGGTTAACTTAGGGCCTGTTTTACAATCATAGTTTAAACCTTGGTTACTCTTAACCCACTAATTTTACCGGCCGAATTCGGTGGTTTAACCTTAGTTTAACGATTGTAATACGGGCACTAAGTCTACCAAAATATATAGTCTGGCTCATCAGTTAAACTCCTCGCCGGGTATTTTCAGGCATGTGTAGTTCACATGTATACGTTACTATATCAGGATACTGAAAAGTTGTTGTTATTGACTATACAGTAGCCACTAGCCAGTAACCAGTAGCTTAGGCTGTCGATATTTTGACTATTCATAAGCCAAGGTATCTTTGGGGCGGAGCAAAATATTGAGGTGCGACGTTTTTAAAAAAAAGCAGTCCGTACATAAGTGTCCCCTTCAAGATTATACACCTGCAGTAATACTTATAGTCAAACCTTACCTAACCTGCAGAGTTAGTAACATATTTTTGGCGGTGTTAAAATTATATTATAGGAAACATTTATATAATCTTTGTAGGTATTGAAAAATAGACTAAAAATATAAACGGGATCTTGGTCGTCCGATACGACCGCGACGGAACTCGCAATCCCCCTCGCCATACCACTATTTAAAATTTTTAAATGTAAATACATATTAATACGCTTGGGTCCAACTTGAATTCGATTGCCTATAATTTATATAGTTAAGTTAATAATCAACTCATATTGTGGAAACGCGTTATGTCTATGTCGTACGTGTGTACAGCAGAGACAAGTGACAACACATGCTGGTGTGACATCCTCTTAACCATGAACGTCAACGAGCTTAGTTTTTTATTTTTTCATTAAATATCATATTTGTTATATCACGAAGCAGCCGCTGAACGCTGGCTCCACTACAAACTAAATATTCAAATCCACGTGTTTTTAAACTTTTCAATTAACAATTACTTTTATCAAAATATAATCTAAAATAAAGTTATACGAGACATTTGGGATCTTTGCTACCATAATTACTTTCTTCCATATTGATTTCTGTCAAATATATTCAGATATTATTCAAATTCTAGTCAAATTTCTGCTAACTTGAATTTTGATTTACATACATCAAAATTCTCAAAAAAAGATATTTGCTAAATTAAAAGCGATAAAGGGGGTTCTTATTTGAAATAACTAAAAAGTAGAAAATAAAAATTAAAAAATTTTTTTTAAAAAACACTTTTCTAAAAAAACAAAAAAATAATGAAAAATTAAAAAGTGTGTGGTATAATATGTCAAGTGTAAGAGCGGCACACACTTTTAAATTTTTCATTATTTTTTTGTTTTTTTAGAAAAGTGTTTTTTAAAAAAAAATTTTTAATTTTTATTTTCTACTTTTTAGTTAAAAAATTTTTTTTACGGATTATTGTATTGTCATCCAAGACCAAGGTCTATACCAATTTTCATAATTTTTCATCTTCAAAAAGTGCCTCAAATCGAGCGCGCAAGATTTGATCACAGACGGACGTGAAACCAAACTTAAGAAAAGTGTTAAAAACAGAAGTTTGTATTGCCATAGAGTCATCCTTAAGTGGTACAATAAATCTCAAGTATTCGAAAATATGGTCTTCAAGTGTTTTTGAAAATTATAAAAATCAGAATTTGAATAAATGTGTAATACAAGCATAACAATAGAGCGAGCATGCTTAATGAATCACTCTGTATAACGCATATATCATATAATAGTTACTCTTTTGTTTTTTAAAAATAATGCATTATCAAATGAAATTACAACCGTTTGTTATCCAAACATTAGCTGTGTGATATAATACCATCATAATTAAATAATTTATTATTTTAAATATAAATATTATTATTACTTTTTTTTTTTAATATATAAACATTTGAACAATCGAATAAATAACGGTGTTGTTAGAGTTAAAAAGAAATGTCGTAACTATCTTAAGTTGTTTTAGATATTATTTTTTTCATTAATATATCGTGTTTAAAATACAATAATTATATTAATTACTATACATTTAAACTCATAGAATGCTGAATATACATACTACATAGGTATAGGTGTTCGATTTTATGACAAAAAACTATACATCAAACTTATCGTTGGTTCATTTGAAGTTTGAACTAATCCATTTGTTCAATTGGGATTTATAATTTCTATATCAGCATAATTAATGTAATATAATATATTATATTAAATAACCCCGTCAAACAAATTATTATAAATTATTTATTAAAATATAAAACAACATTATGCATAAACTTTAAAATTCGTGTAAAACCCCATAAGGCTCTCACGAATATTAATAAATACTAAAATTATGGTGAAACGCTTACTTCGTACGATATGATACATAATATTATTTACAAACATAATATAAAAGTCGATAACGTTTTTTTTTCTACGAAACAGTCGACGCTTCGTAACGAAAATTTACTGCTCCGTCACTGAAAATGTTTTACATCCAAAATCGCCGAAGAGTTAAATCTAAAACCAAAAATTCCCACGCTTTTTATATAAGTATTAACCATTATGGTCATCGATAGTTATTGGGTAATGAATAAACCATATTATATTATATAAAATTTACTATGAAATATAAGGTGATATATAAGTAGATACTGTTTATATATATATAGGTATAGCCGCAGGGACCGGACATTTTAGGGGCCCGTTGGAATTAATTTGTAATTTTTGAAATTTTGATAGGAATACTGATTTTGTATTAATTAATATTTTATGATATAAAATATGTATATTAAAATATATTACTAAGCAATTTTGTTATTTTAAGCTGTGGGTTGACCAATGATTACCATAAATCGAATATTATGAGACACCCGTATCGCTTGTAATGGGTTGTATTTTATTGGAAGTTTTGTTTAGGGACCAAAACATTTAATACATGGGGAGTCTAGTTGTAGGTAAAGGTACTGACGTAAGTACTGAGTAATTTTTAATTTTCATTAATTGCATAAAATTTAAACTTCACGGTCATGTAAAAGTGTATAATACCTATAAAATATTTGTATATAGGTGTTAAATTTAGAATTAAAAATATAAATAATTATTTTCGATGAGTTACAATATTCCTTGTGTCATATTATATATTGACGCAGCGTCAGGAAATGTGTACAGTAGTTCGGATTCGTCTAGTCACAATGTTAATTATAGGTACATCAAACAATAGTTTTCAGACAATCTATTTAATTTTGAATTTCTACAGATTGAAAAATGTTGCTGAATAAAAATTAAAACCTAAATAAACCTTGGCTGGAGATCCTCTTGTCGTTTGTATTCTTTATTGTAGTCCTATACGTGCACGTATGAAACACAATATTTAATACTATTGCTAAACAAACACTCTCACTCAGACATGTTCTCAGTAACATAAACAACTATAATTTTAAACGCGTTTCATGGCCTATAACAATTCAAAAAATGTGCTTATTTCAGCTATGTAAAATGATTAAAAATGGGTCAATGTCAAACACAATAAAATTACTATTGTGATTAAACCGACGATCACCCATTTTACATTGAAACCATACGTTTTGGTGTTTCTTATTGGTTTGGCCGGCATTAATGTTAAAAATTCAAATATACATGAATTAATTTTCTTATATCTTACAATTTCACTAGTTCTAACCTTAGGTACTGCTAACGGTTATTATTTTTGATTTAGGGTGTTAAATTGCATTACGTCGAATGTGGTGATCCTAATGGATCGATTGTTCTTTTACTACACGGATTCCCATCTTGTTGGATTAGTTGGCATCATCAAATACCCATCTTGTCGAAACACTTTCGGTAAGTAATAAGTATACTTAATTTGTTTTAATTACTATCCATAGTCATAATATTATTATTATAATCATTATTAATATTAAGTAGGAACTTTACTAGAGCCACGAATTTAAAATGCTAAAAAAAAATTAAATAACTTAAATATACAAAAAAAAATAATGCAGTTATAACACTGCAAACTCATGATAAATGATTTAATTTTAATTTTTAATAAATCTTTCTCAAGATTACATTTTTTGGTAATTTTTTGTTCTTTTTTTATTATGTTCTATTATTTATTTTACCTTTTATTGTGTGTTCAACGATTACAACCAAATGTAGAAGATAACTACTTAGTACTAATTTTTTATTGGAATTTTCATTAAATATCAAAGAATTTAATTATTCCTATTCTTTAATAGGAATTATAATATCATATTACAGTCAGACTTGGTTAACATGAAGTTGAAGGAACGGTCAAAAAGTTCAAGTTCTCCAACAATAATAAAATAATAAGACATTTTAGGGAAAGGGAAAAAGTTCGAGCAATTGACGATTTAAAGTTAAAAATTTCTAGTTAACCAAGTTCGACTGTACTAAACAAATAAATTGTTATGGCTTTAGGTGTTACTAGGTTTAACCTACTAGCCTTATTATAATATTGTTGTAGTAAAATCATATTAATTACATACTATATTGTATTACATATTAGTATGTAACTACCTAATATGTAGGTAATATGTAATTATATATTTTATGTTGATAGTGTATAATATCAATTAGGTATAATATGTTCAAGATTATTTCTTAGCATCATTTTACTTCGTGATTATCATGATAATATATGCAATAAATATCATTGAACATTGGCCGAACATTCACCTACAATACCTACGTATTTTTATTTACACAATTGGAACTACGCGTAGAGAGTTTACAAATTGTATTTGTTTTGAGACTATAATAATAAAACAATAACGTTGTTGAACATAAGATTTAATAATATTATCATTAGGTAAATGTTTTTTTTAATCTTAAAGTCACTTTTTGCACGTTTCTTGGTAGTCCGTACAACCTACATAGGATTTAATTTTAAAACAAAATAATGACCTCTGTATAGAATAAGTTAATGTTTATGATTTATGAACCTTTTATTGAAATGTAATGCACATCTTTTAGCTTCAATAATATTTCAGATTATTAATTAATTATTATTATATAAAAATAAAATAATAAATTAACCTCCTAGGTAGTTGTCTTGCGGCACCCCAATAATGGCTAAATAGACCAGTACATTTTTAACCAAATAATAGTAAAGATGTTTAATTTTTTAATATATTTTAAATATTCACCAATTTTATAAGTTGATTTGGAGCGGAGCCTTTTGGTGTACAAATACATGTCGGTCGACAATCGGCGCAAATTTAGGCACATTTGAAAATTTATTGAAATCTTTGATTGTAAACTGTAATGTTTCAGAAAGAAATAATAAATTACCTAATAGTATATACAGTCGATTCCGCTTTATTGGGACACATCGGTTGGGTGTTATTTTGTCCCAATAAAGCGGTTGTCCCAATAATCCGAAATACAAAAACCAACATATAAATTTGTTGAAAAACTGATTTGTTTTATATATTTTTATTATTACAAATTACAAACAATGTATTATAGAAATTATTTGATAGTACAAAAAGAAAAACATGATATAATCTAATTATTTATAAAAATACTTACATATAAAGTACATATAAATATTTTTTATTTTTTTATTATGTATTTTATCTTATTTAAAAAAACTGTTGATTTCAGTACTCCTAAAATTTCCGAAAGACGACGTGTATTACAGCCTGGTAGCTGTAATTTAATTTTGTCCAGAATTTCTAATTTTTGAGCAAACGATAAATCTTTACGTACACGAGCCATCGTTGCTACACGCGACAAACACGACTGATGCACCATTGCACCAAATAACATTTAACAACTATCACATTTGAACATACGATAAAAGATAAGATAAAATAAAGTTAAATAAGATAAAATGTAATGTAATAATCGATTACGAGAGTCCGTCACGATTGTTGAACTATTGATCTATTAATATACTCGATAAAAATGTCCCAATTATCCGGATTCGTGGCCCAAATAAGCGGTGAATGTTTACCCTACAAGTATACATTTGTTTTTGTAATTGAAGAATTGTCCCTATTAAGCGGTTGTCCTTATTAACCGGTGCCTCTATTAAGCGGAATCGACTGTAATATAGTAATAATATAGTTTATAATATAGTAAAATATACTACCCATAACCATTGATTAAATATATATATTAAGTATATTTAATCAATGCCATAACCCATATGCAATTTACCTATTTTACCTATATTATTATTGTTTAATTGTATATTTACAAGTTAAGTTTTATTTTTAAATGTATAAAAAAATTATTATATTTTTAATAACCAGTCAACAAAATTGAAATAAATATTGTAGTAGGTATACAAGTTGCTTACTTAATACTTAAATTTGTATAAAAAAAATTTACGGGTATACCTATTTTAGAGTATAAATAAATCCATATTTTGGTAGTATTCAGTAGGTACCTACATATACTTCTGGCCTCTGAGCACTAAACTTATCACTTATTAAATTATTATGCCAGTATATTTTTAATAGTTAGTTTGTATCATAACAGTGATTAGCGAAAAAACAACGTCAAAAACACATTATCAGCAAATTCCATGCATTATGTTTATACCTACAGTCTACACCATTTTTTCAGCAGTACCTACCTGCTCACTATAACCACTGAAGAGATTGAATCTATTCTGTGGCTATAGGTAACTGCAGTCATGATGCCACTTGTAATTTACTTAACACACGTAGGTAAACAGACTTTTATTTTAAATACAATTTTTTGGAATGCCTTCAAAATGGATAAAGTTGTTGAAAACCTTTAAAAAAAACTGTGTATGTAACGTTTTCTTAATAGTTTTAATTATTTATTTATTAAAATAATATAATATATTATTAAATAATTACTTATGCTTAAATTTATTGAAATCAACTGTCATATTGATTTATCATATTAAAATAATATATTGTTTTATTTTTATATAGTTCACCGGGATAATCGTGCAAATACCAAATTTTGATTAGTATTAAATTTTAACCTTAATTTCTACTTTTCGTGTGCATTTCAAAAATAGTTTTTAATATTTTATTCATAAATATATTTAGAGGACTCCACATCCGAGTGTGTTATGGTGAGAAAAAGAACCGAGAAGGCTACAGTAATAACTACAAAACGACATTTTCACCACATAAAAGGGAGGACTTTGGCTGTGCAATATCGTTTTAATTTTTTGATATCACTCATATGAAAAAATTCTTATTGTTTCAAAATCCATTATTGTTTGTGTTTTTCAAACTTTAATAACTTTTTTTGAAGTTCTGATATCGAAAAAATTAAAACGATATTGCACAGCCAAAGTACTCTTTTATGTGGTGAAAATTTGGTTCCTTAGTTATTACTGTAGACTTCTCGGTTCTTTTTCAAGCCAAAACAGTTTTTACTAAGTCTTACATTTGTAAGACCGAGACAACACATGCGGGTGTGGCGTCCTCTTAATCTCAGTAAATATTGAGAGCACGTACGTCGTACATACCTACCTATTGATAAATACCTATGTTATTTTTATTAACACATGCTACTATTAGGTAGATACCTAATACTATTAATACTAATAGCTCATAAGGTATTATAATTATTTTCTTTCTCCTATTAATTGGATATAATTAATTGGAAACGTGTAAGTCGTAAGATGTTATAGTTCATAAAATTGACCTTGGTGTATACAATAGTTTATACACTAGGTACTAAATATAAAACAAACATCCATGTAGTGTATTTATAAATTAATTAAGTCTTTTAAATAATGTATTTGTGGTTTATAACGAGCATCAAATAACATAGATTACCTATACTATAGACGAAACAGAAAAATAATAATGGGCAGGTATCTAATAATATCGATAAAGGTACTAGTTTAAGTCATGATTAAAAAATGCCACCTGATAATAAAAATTATAATAATTGTGTAATACGCAGGTACAACGCTGTAGTACATTTTAAAGTTGGTTAATTTATGTATACTATCCTTATTACTTAGGTATATCAGAATTTTATATTATAAAGAACAAACAATAAGTGGTGTATATTGTACATATTTATTGTATACAACCTAGTAAGTACCTACAACTGTATAATATAATATTGAATACCTATTGACTACAGATTATTATGTTTGTTCAGTACGCCTGTACTGGTTGAAACCAAGATTTCTTTATTAATCGACATGCAATAAATTTACATATTTATGCAATTGGTTTTATTTATTTGTTGGGTAGGTACCTGCTTGAGCTTCGTGCATGCCCTGTACAATTTTATTCAAACAGACAACCACCCATTTTTGGCATTTCTACCACCAATTATTTTTATTTGTATTTGTTTTATGAATTTAAGTGATCTAACTTACTTCTGAAATTACCTGATAAAATGTGTGAGTAAAAGCAGGCTTATATAATTTTGATCTCATCGTATTATATTATAATATGTAGTAAACATGGATTTGGATTTGTTTAGGTGTAAATGGTAAATCAAATTTGTAGGTAACTGATCTTGCATTGGACCTTTTAGTAAAAAAAATGCAAATGCATGAACTTACAGGCTATGATGTTTGGTAACATATATCCATAAGGCATAAATATAAAGTTAAATTATTTAAAAAACAAACTTGTATTAAATATGTGTTATCATAATAAATATTCATAATATTCTACCTACTATCTTAATGATATGAACGATTTATAATAATTTTTAAATTGTAATTGTTATTATTACGTTTATGAATGGTCACGGATGCCCATACCTAATAAATTCATATATTGTCAAATTCTATTAGAAATTAGATAGAGTAATTTAATTTAAACCACCTATGTGTATACTATGTGTCTACTTCGTTTAATATCAATTGCATATTAATAATTAATGTTATTATGATTGTAATATGCTTATATTTAGTTATTAGTAATCAAAATTCAAAATGAAAGATACCAACCAATAGTTGTGTACATTTTTAATTATCAGTTATCGTATTTCAGTGTGATTGCTGTAGACCTTAAAGGTTTTGGTGATTCTGATAAACCGTCATCACGCAAAAGTTATCGAGTTGAAAAACTGGTCAACGAGCTAGCCGTGTTTTTGTCGTTGCTTGGAGTGGACGGCCGTAATAAATGTCACGTAATCGGCCACGACTTGGGCGCTTTATTGGGTTGGTATCTGGTACATCTTTGGCCCAATTTTGTGTCAAAATTTGTAGCCATTTCATGTCCACATCCAAATGTCCACTGGGAGTATTTACCTTCATCAAGTTTCTTTAACAAAAAGTAAGTATATTTATCTGATAATACCAGAAATATCACATCAACCGTGAACGTATTTCCCGATCCTAGTACGTTTCAGCGCGGGGGGGCGGAGCCAAGACCTTTCTGCATGATGTATATATGTTTTTACCGATCCTAATCTGATTCAGAGCGATGCGCTAAACCCACATAGGGTTCGTAATTTTAATACAAACATTTAAAACAAAATATATCATATTACATTTTAACATAGTACATTGTTTTACTATCAATATTTATTCAAAAAAATTAAGAATAACTACATATTTCTGTTTTTATTACTGTGTTCGTCACATTATATTATAGTCATAATATAGGTATTACTAATAACAATATTATAAGTTAAATATTTTTAATCAGGCTGAGCGTTGTGATATAAAAATGTCATTAATCTATATAAAATGCAGTACTAATAAATAATAAATAAATAAATAATAATTATAATACAAGTAAAATATTTTTTATCAGGCTACGTATTACATACAGCGTCATGGTATAAAATTTTCATTCACCTATTATTATAAAATGTGTCAATAAATAATAAAAAAATAAATAATAATAATAATAATATAAGTAAAATATTTTAATCAGGCTGTGTTACATGCAGTGTTCTGTGTTATTGTATAAAAATGTAATGCTAGTGGTGTGTTGCATTGAGTTTGTTTGCTTGTATATTTGCTCCTAAATTTTTTTTGTCTTTTTTTTTTTTTAGTTGAATTGTTTCGGCTTTAGATGGGCGCCCTGCTTGAATACGTTTAGATCCTTTAGTGAGTCCAGCTCTATCTTTACGACGTGCGATTGCAGTTGGTTGTACACTTATATTTTTATCCATTCATCATGTAAAGTGTAAATTTGACGTGTCCTGGGATTTATTTGTGAATTAGCTAGGGTTATTGATATTAATATTGATACCATCATTTTGAGTTGAAGGAAACATTATGAGATAACTTAACAATACAATTTATATTAGGTAATTCCACAGCGTAATATAACAACACTGTATGTAACACGTATACATACACTATAATATAGGTACATTATATTAAATAGGTATATAGTCATGTACGATATACCCAGGGCCGGATTTAGGAATGTGGGGGCCCTGGGCCCACCTTTAGAAGTAGATATTTTTTTCGATTAAGTACATAATATATTTAATAACCAGAATTTTGGTTATGAAAAAACAATGATTTATCGCCTGGTCGGACAGTCAGTTATATTCGATGGACACTTAATTTTTTTACAAATTTGAAAACACAAATAAAATTTGAAAACAAATTTAAAAAATATATTCCAACAGTTATTAGATAAACTTCTCGTGTTTAATTTGGTATAAAAACTATGTTTCTACGACTTACGAGGCCTGAGTACTATTGGAACTACGAAAACATGTTTTTACGATCTATTTTTTTCTACCTACAGTGACGGCTCTTAACTACTATCGTACGTGCAGGAACAAGTTGTTATTAAACTATTATATTATAGATTATTAAATTATAACTAGGTTTTTATCGAGGTGATTTTGAAAATCTATTTTTCCAGCTGTGCTATCAATAAATATAAAAAAACGATATTTTTTATTTATATTTTTAATCGTAACACTAACAATTTTCGGAATATTAAAAATCACCACGATAAAAACCTAGTAGGTTATCTCGTTAATCAATCTTAATCCGTTTTCAAAATTGAAATCTGTCAAACCAAATTACTACAGTTTTGTCTAGATTTTTGGTCTAAATGCCACTTTTTTACACAGACAGCAGCCCCCTTGATTGAAAATCGTCGAATTACTAAATTTAATTTAATAAAAAATACATTGTAGGTACCTACTAACCTGGATAAATATCACGATCAAAATGTACTTTATGGTTGAAGCCTGAAAACTGAGTGTACCATCTACCTATTTGTTTTTATTTAGAACTTATTCAGCACGCATTTATTTATAACAGTCCACAGCGGACGGCTTGCTATACAAGTTATAATATGTGTTTATTTATAACTGTTTTTAATTAAAATACCTATCTACAAGTCTACAAGATAATAATAACATAATAATCGATTTTAAATTCACATTTGTAAGCTAGCTACTCACTTCTATAAATTCATTAGTTATTAAATATTAATAATAACATTTATTTATAAATTTATGACAATATCAATGATTGAATATTTTTATTCATGTTGTGATTTAAATCCGTTTTGAAAATGTTATATTGTGTTTTATACAATATACTTGGATGTAAAAAAAAACATTTAGTGGGGGCCCTCAATTTGTGGAGGCCCGGGGCCCGGGGCCCCCTGGGCCCCCCCTAAATCCGGCCCTGGATATACCTAACCACAACGCTCAGCCTGATTAAAAATATTTAACTGATATTGTTACTAGTAATACTTATATTATGACTATAATATAATGTGACGAACACAGTAATAAAAACAGAAATATGTATTTATTGTTAATTTTTTAAAAATTACGAACCCTATGTGGGTTCAGCGCAACGCGCTGAATCAGATTAGGATCGGTAAAAACATATATACATCATGCAGAAAAGTCTTGGCTCCGCCCCCTCGCTGAAACGTACTAGGATCGGGAAATACGCCAACCGTGAGCTGTATAGCCGTATAGGTATTATAATATATAGCCATATAGGTAAGTACCTATAAAATAAAATGCGAAAAAATCTCAACTAAGGGAACCATTTTGTTAAAATTTGGAGTAGCGTTTCTCGAATTTGATCTACACTCTTAATTACCTATTATTTAGTTGGTTATTTGTTTCGTTATTTACCTACTATGTTAAATATTCAATCACTTAAGTGATAGGTATTTTTTTTTTTCAATTTTGTAAGCCAGGTGTACATATTATAATTAATTATAGTTAATAAATAATAAATATAACGGTAACCACTGTCCACTGATCATCTCAAAAAATATAAATATTTTTTAAACAAATGATATTTTTGCATTTAAGATTCTGAACGTAGCTATGAATTTATTGTATTTACAATGATGTGTGTTTATTTTCTGTCATCAACATTTGGGGTAGTTAAAACTTGAAATGCTCCAGTTTTTAATACCACCATATTTTCTGATAGACAAAAATCTAGTTGGTGCATTCTGGATGTCAAAACTTCCTGTAATTTATGTAAGAGTTGAGAAAACAAACTTTTGAAAATATCGATTTTATTTTTTTGGTGTAACTCAAAAACTAATAACCGTAATCACTTTGAAGTTTGGAAATTTTCAAAATATTTTAACCAATATTTATAGCCAAGAGACATTTTCGAAGTTTCTTAACTTTTTAAAAATTATTTTCGATTAAAACTATTTCACTTAGTAAAAAAGTTTACCCTCAGTTGCTATAATAGCAGTTCAAAAATATTAATGATGCATAGGCAAGATTATTTTTTATATACACTTTTATGCAACTTTTTTAAGTTCAAATTTTGATAAAATTTATCCCAAATTCCGAAAATTATTTATTAAGTCCTAAGGGCCGAATAAACACAAGAAGAGAAAAAAAGAGAAGAGTACTTAAACGTCATTATTTTTACTCAGAAATTTGTTTTATTACATTATTATAGTTGGATTTACTTCAGTCAACTTCCTTATTTACCGGAAATGGACGCTTTGCAAAGTGATCAAAAAATAATAAACCAGTGTTATCAACACCTATCTAAGAATAAGAAAAGTGATGACTCATCTTACATCGACGCATATAAATATACATTTTCAAGAACAGGTGATTTGAGTTTAATACAAATAAGTAGGTAATAATTATTATCGATCGCTATTAGTTTTGGACTTCTTTGTATAGGAGGTCAGCTCAATATTTGTTGTCTCTCAGACGCAGAACATAGATAAAACCTATTACAAAAATTATAGAGGGTAATTTTTTTGAGGGTATGACATAGGCACCTATAGGTTTTATATCTTATCATTATTCGACTTTCAAAATAAAAGAAAACAATTGTAAATTTAAATGATGTTTAAATTGTTTTGATACAATATGTAGACATTATATTATGTCATACTCTCAAAAATATTATTCTCTATCGTTTTTGTAATGGGTGATTTTACTCTAAGATTACTCAGTCATAAAATAAGTTGTTCTGCGTAAATACGTGCTTGGGCCAGATAGAGAAACAAACAATGCCCTGACATCTCCATTTTATTATAAAATATAAATTCAATTAATATTACTCTAGCTTATTGAAATTGTTGTGTTTTTTAGTGGACTGGACGGGTGCTATAAATTATTTTAGAAACTTACCATTCTACAGAATCGAGCCTCGGAGTAATAATAATTCTTTAAATAAAGAAGAAGACATGCTTCAAGTTCCGTGTTTGCTCATCATCGGTGGTAAAGATGTAAGTGTACAAATTGAAAGTTTTATCAAATCCACAGAATTTCTCAAAACATCTACTTTAAGAATAATTGATGATGCATCACATTTTCCCCATCAAGAGCAACCTAAAGTAGTCAATGATCTATTGACATCATATTTAGGTGAGTTTTAAAATTATTATTATAATTTTATAATTATTTGAATGAATAACAAAAGTTAAATAGAGAGTTTAATATATTATGTGTGTGAATATGTTTATAAATGTATGACAAATATAAATATATAGGTAAAAGTTATCCAAATAATGAGTAAAATATAATATTATACATACATATAAAATAGGTAAAATAGTATACATCACATGAAATGGAAACGGTAAATAATAAATAGTCTGTATATACACTGTGTGTCTATAAAAACACTTGCACAGTAATATAATATATAAATATTTAAGTATTTTTTAATATAAAAAAGGTGGGAAAATGGATGTCGTTCTGCTGTACAAAAAAGTGTTACACTCAGCAGATCACGTTAGTTTATAAATTAGAGTGAAAGCAAAATTATAGGCTTTTTATTATATCTTAATTTTAAAGCGAATTATGAGTATTTTAAGATGTACAGTTATATATAAATATTACTTGCTTTAGGGATTTTTTTTTTGTTTTTATTCAAGCGTTTTTTTTTTCGGGAATTATTTTTCCGATTACCAGATAGTCAATCGTAAGTTACGGATTAGATTTAGCTCAGTATATTTTTTTAACTTTTCTTTAAATTTTTCTGATATATCTAAAAACAATTTCTGAGATTTTCGTCAAAATTAATCGAGTAGTTTTTGAGTATATAAGCTACAAACATTCAGATAAGTATTCAGATAACGAGGACAAAAAAAAAATTTAATTTCCACCCTAAATCTCAAAATCCTTGTTTGAGAGCGCATTTTAATGAGTCTCTCAAACAAGGATTTTGAGATTTAGGGTGGAAATTAATTTTTTTTTTTTGTTTATAAAATATGATTGTCATTGGTTGAAGGTTATAATAGTAATAGTAGAAATGAGTAATTTTTTTTCGAATATAAATGGTTGCCATCGGTTATTAGGGCTGCTGAGATAAAGCATGTATCAAATCATCAATTTTTGAAAATCATTTCTTAGTGGGTCTTTACATTATAAAACGGAACTATACTGACCAAATTTCATACTTATTGCTTCAGTGGTTCCAGCTAGGCGATGATGAATCACTCAGTGAGAACCAGTTCTTTGTATATTATATATTTATATAGATATGACAAAGAAGAAAGACATAATAACCTATCATAAAAAGAAATACATACAAGATAAATACATTTTTACCTCCTCCATATAGTTCTATTCAGTATACTATATGGTATATAGTAATAAAAGGTATACTTTAGGTACTTACAGTCCACTATATACCTACATACCTATACCTACCTAATTACAGTACCGTCATAAGAAATGGCGATTATACAATTTACTAAGGAATTATTGTTAACGATATACCTAGTTATAAATTATTATCTTATAATATAGATCTACACGTCTTATCTTATACAGAATATTCCAAATTGCAGTGTGTGGCAAAAGTGTTGATGATCAATGATCACGTATCTATGACTAACCCCCCTCCTACCATTTTTGTCACATGAAAATTGGAAGAACCAGTAAATGCGATGTACCTTTATGGCTATTTATGTTGTATTGTATTATATTTGCATATTTATATTGTCTTAAATTAATGTACCTATTTCTGTTACAGTTCGTGTAAAAGTAGTTCAAAAGGTGCTTCGACAACAAACATGTGGTGGTATAGTTGGACGAATGAAAGATATCGTTTCGTCTACGGTTCAGTATGGAAATACGTTGAAAGATTCAATGCAAAGAAACACTTCACCACAAACAATCAAGGCCAAAACATCATAGCAAAACTCTTATTATTTTAATTTAAAAAACAAAATGTTTTTATTGACTTTAATGTATTTATATTGTATCAAAATAATATTAACAATGAGAAAAATGTTACCATCCATAATACGACTATTAATAGTTTAATACTATAAAAATATTGTTTACTTATAAGATCATTTAAAAACTTTGCAAAACTAAATGTACAGTGAACATGTGTATTGTACATTTATCTATATATGTACAATGTACATCGCATATACCTACAATCGTTCGCATCACGGGTACCTAGGAAATACATTATATGTATAGCTTTATCTAGGTACAGTGTTATTATTGTGAATTATTAATAAGGATAATTTAAATTATTATAAGCTATAATATAATCATATATTCGTATAATCGTATGTAACCCTATTGAGTATAACTAAACGTTTATAACACATAATCTGATAGACGATAGGTAGTACCCAATTTAAAATAAAAAATATGTATACAACTCCGTACTTAAAATATTTAATCATAGTGTAATATATATGTTGTAGTCACTAAACTCACTACATATACAATATTATATTTTTATGCATTAAACATAAAATATCAAATATCAAAAAATATCTTTTATTGAAAATTAAACATAGTAAAAAGAATATTCATCATATTATATATTTATAACAATTTAATTATGATAAAAAAATTCAAATAAAAATAAATTAAAAACTAATTTTGTATTCGGCGCTGTATATTAAATTTGACTTGTGCACACTCGATCTATTTTTAGCATATTATGTTTCCATTGAGCTTAAAACCGGAATTTTTTTTATAAGTAATTTTTAAGTTTCTTACAAATCCAGATATTGTGTGTGCATAATAAATTATTACAACAATTTTAGCTTTCCAAATCAAGATCTTCATTTCTATTTATTGAAAACTTGTCTGCACAAATTTGCAGTTCAGTTTTGAAAATGTACATAATTAAAACTGAGATAAATGTGAAATACATATTCAAAGGAAAGGACAGATGACATTCATCATATTTTATTCTACTCTTGCTTTTATCAATAATACTATATATTATATACACTAAACTACAATAGTACAATTTATAGTATAATTATAACAATGTTTTTTGTTTATTCATGTGTTTTAGTATTTGCACTTTCTGTGCAAATGATTTTTTACAGATTGCACAATTAAATGGCTTATGGGAGTTATGAATAATGTTGTAATAATAACACTCCGAAATGCAAAAATGCCCTTATTTTTCATAAATAAACTATCAATTATTAGTAGGTAGGTAGTTAATAGTAGTATACAATAAATAATATTATATATAAATAACTTGCTATGGCGCATTATACCGTTTGGGTGTTCGATATTTTGTTGATGTAAGAGCGATGTGTCTAGATCAGCTGTGTTGATTGTAAAGCACTAAAGCTGTTATTTGCGTTTGTACTCAAAATTAAAAAATATAGGTTTGAATTGTTTAATTTTTGTAAGTAGGATAATAAAGAAATAACAAACTGGGGAATAGTCAACTACAACTACCTGTGTAAGGTTCTAGACATCACTGATAATTTGAATGTACTAATTTATAATATTAACTAGCAAATCTATGTTTTTGGGTTAGCTTAAATTATTTTAATTTTTTTTTTTTAGGTGGGGAGGGTTTATTTTCCCGTCCTGTTTAGTGTTCAAACTGTCGAATAGAAAAATGTTATCTCGTTCAAATGGTCGCGCACTCGCGCCTATTTACATATTATTTTTGTAATTGAGTTCAGTATGGCGAAATTATTCAATTTAATTAATGAAACTGATCCCAGACTAACGTAGAAAATTCGTATTTTTATTTTTTATAACTAATGTACTGTAATTTGTGATTCTTAAGTTATGAGACCCATTATTAAGTAAAACTAAGCAACTATCGTTTTTTAAAGGTAAAAAGGTAAAAATATAACACATTTTACAATTAACAAAATTATGCAAATCCTTTATATATTTTGACCTGAATAAATTTTGTCATGTAACTTTGACTTAAATGTTATACATACACTTTTAGTTTAAAAATAAATATTATAATATGACGTAAGATACTTTTTAATTATTTTTTTCCAATGTAATTATTGATTAGAAATAGCAGTTAATACTAAAAAACAGATATTTAAAAAATGAACTAAAAAATTAGAGCAAAAAAAAAAGAATGGTCATGGTCATTACTATCCGCCTAGAAACGTTGGGTAATATAGCTACCTAGTAGATAAATAGATAATACAATACAATTTATTGTTTTGAATTTTTCAAACAATCAAAATATGTTGGCCGGCGAATTGTATAGGCAAAATAGGTACATTACTAATTTATTCAATATTGTCCATAACTACATTTAAGTTTATTGCAAGTATACTCCGTTCGCGATAGAAAGTGGTTGAACACAGTTCAAAACGGGTCGTACCCCACCGCAATTACCTAAATCCACATTTCTTAGATCTATTCGAATACGAGCGAGCTGCGAAGTAATCACATTTTCACGGTGAACGGAGTAAAGACATAATATGATAGGTACCTATTATAGAACTGCAAATTTTATCCTGAGGCCCGGTCCAGCTCAGTCCAAAAAATATTGTGAAGAAAAGTTCTGGCCCAGTCCGAAAATAATTCTAAGCTCGTAAGAAGCCCCGTCCGGTCCATCAATTTTATCCTCAAGCCCAGCTCGGCCTGTTCCAAAAAATATTGAGAATAAAAAAAAATATATTATTATGGTATATAAACAGCTTTATTACACCCACCAATGAATATATTATTCTGCCGTCCTAAAGAAGAATGCCGTAAGTTTTCTTAAGAAAATTAGATAGGTACACCCAATTCTTTATTTTTCGAATGAAATAATAATCTATGATAATATAATAATATATAATTTTACTATTTTACCTTGAATGAGTTCTTCAATTCCATCTAATAAGTCTGATGCAATTGTAGTTGTTGAGTCTAGTGAACCTGGTATAACATTTATGTTTGGGTCATAAACAACTTCATGTTGTGTATTCATTGCAAAAATAAAAATTGAACTTCGTCAATTCACGACGATATATCATAGATAACTGAACGAAATATAGAATGTGTATGGTGTACAACAGCAAAACTCCAAACATTATCAGTAATTTAAAATTAAATTATAAGATACGGCTTGTTGACGACCAGTTTTCTAAACAACAATGCCGTAAATATAGATTATAATGAAGAGCTAAGTAAAAACGCCGTATTTTAGAAAAAGATACGGCAATCTTCCCTAGCAAACTGTGATTACGGCGTTTTTGCTAAGCATCGATTATATTTAATTACAATTGCGGCAATATTTGTTTCTTATAAGCACACATATCTCGATGAATAACCATAGTAACGGCATTTTTACTTAAAAACAACGTGTAAAACTGTAATGTTAAACGTAATACAGAATAATCTAATTTTTTTTTTTTCTATTTACGGCATTCTTCCTTAGGACGGCAGTATTATATTCATTGTGATTGTATCTACTATCTAGTGTCTCTCCGTAGTATCCATCTGTACCAACGTCGTTTTTATCATTATTTTTTATTATTTTAAATGTGATTATTTATTGTCGAAGGAAAATTCTTAAAAAGCCCGGTCCAACCCTTGATTTATTATTCGAAGTCCAGCCCGGCTCGGAACAAATTTCCAAGACTTAAAAAGCCTGTTCCAACCCTTTATTTTATTTCAAAGACCTAGCCCGGTCCAATGTCACTACGGGCAGGGATTTTTAAGGACCTTTTAAGGCTCTTGCAGGTCTTTATAGTACCTACATATTATATAACTATATTATATTCCATATTGACGATATTGTTTACAGAGTGATTCTTTTATCATGAGACACTTATTATTTCGAAAAGTATTAATGTTTTTGAAAATATATTTTACATAATTTCAAGTTGTTAAAAAACAACGTTTTTATTAAAAATTTACATTTTTAAATATTTTTTATCTTTAAAATTTTTTAAGTTTTTCCTGTTTTGAATGACAACATAGAGTTTTAATTTCAAATTCCAAAGCAGAATACTTTTCTTAATATTTTGATTCATAAAAATCGAATTTAGGGCTAGTAGTTTATGAGTAATAAATATTTAAAGTTTAGATGGGCGGAGAGGAGTGGTACGGGGCTACCCTGCAAAATATTTTCCCACTACTCCACTTGTATAAACTTTAAATAGATACTTATAAAGTTATAACTCATAAACTACTCGTCCTAAATTCGATTTTTATGTATCAAAATACTTAGAAATATATTCTGCTTTGGAATATGAAATAAAAACTGTATGTTGTCATTCAAAAAAGTAAAAAGCTTAAAAAAAATATTTAAAAATATAAGTTTTTATAAAAACTTTTTTTTAACAACTTGAAACTATGTAAAAAAAATATTTTCAAAAACATTAATACTTTTTTAAATAATGAGTGTTTCATGATACAAGTATCACCCTGTATACATTCAAATACGAATATATCTGAACACAAAGAGTCAATTATTGATTGTAATTACCTAATTTTTCGATTATGTAGATGGCACTGAGTGATAAAAGTTTAAAAAAAGAGTTTAATTTAGACTACCTACTCTTAAACTAGTGAACCAAAATTGATAATAATTTAAGTATCAAAATGTTCAGAAAAAAAGCTCCAACAGCACCCATTAAAAATATAGTGTTGCCTTATAAAAAAAAATTAAGTTAATTTTTTCTATTGCTACAACTGCGTGATTTAAAGTTTTGAAATCGTGGTAAGAAAACGTCCAGTTAAAAATAAAGAAATACGTCTTTTTAGTTTTCTTGAAAATCCATAATCTTTAAAAAAAAAAACGCGTACAACAAAATAAGACACACCTTATACTGTAGATAATATAATATGAATTCCCGAAATCACTGAGTACGAAGAGAATTTAACGATATAAAGATAAGTCAGTTCATGTGTTTAGCTTATCTGTGTCAGTTGTTCTTATAAGAGTTTGAAGCTTT